AATCCATACAGTTAGATAAAAACCGTTCATACCTCTACTTCATATTTAGGCACAGTTAGTAGATGTCATAGGACATCAGCATTGTCCTAACTAATTCCACTCTTCTGTAATGGATCCTTGTATTTCCCAGTCATTGAAAGTCACAGGGTTCTTCAGTCTGATAAGTGCATGTGTGCTAAGTTGCTTCATTCGTGTCTGACTCTGTGTGACCCTGTGGACTGTAGCCCATCAGGTTCCTCTGCCCATGGGATTCTCCAGGCAAGAACACTGGAGTGGGTTGCCTTGCCCTCCTCCAGGGGATCTTCTGACCCAGGGATCGAACCCGTGTCTCTTAGTCTCCCGTATTGGCAGGCAGGTTCTTTAGCACTAGCACCACCTGGTGTGTCTGATGCAGATTTCATAGAAGGTGAAGTGGTTAATTTTTAGTGATTCTGCCTGCTTTGGCTTGGATTAGCACTTTATAATTTTGTGATAGAGGGTGGAATGTTAAGTCTTTGAAGTTGATAGAATTACGATTCTTAGTATGATTTTCTTGATAACCAGCAAAGATACCACTGCCCCCAGGAAGAAGAATAATTAAAAGCCTCACCGCAGTAACCTAAATAATGATGACAGTGGTCATTAATCAGAACATTCTGGTGGTATTTACATTTGCATTGTGCTGCCTCAGTAAAGACACACCACGAGCCCAAGCTCAGGACTGGTTTGTGTCATGGGCAGCACAGGACAATCCCGGGTTTTGACAGCTCCACGGAGCTCTTGGAGAAGCTTGTTTCGGTTCTGAAGATGCCCTGTTCATGTTATCAGTGGGCCAGGTTGAGTCCAGTCTAATGAGGATCCCTCCATGCCTTCGTCCACAACCCAAGGGTGCACTCTGTGTCACGTGCTCTTGTGACCGCTCTGAGGATGAAGGGCACGTGTAGTCTTCAGGGCCTGCCTTCACAGTGGATTTTGGGAGAATGAAGTCACCAATGACATTCCCAAGGTTTAACCAGGTAAACCCAGACAGAGGTGTTTTGGGGAATTGGGGAATGGATTTTTTTTTTTTTCTTGTGGAGGTAAATTTCTTTTATATTTGAGGCATTTTGAAAACATGCTGGTGTACATATCTGAGACAGGGTCAAGTCAGAAGGAACTCCCGTGTTGGGAGCAGTTCAGCCTTTGTAGGACTGATGTTCTCTGTAAGAAGAATCTCAGGAGTGGGGGTTGAATCCTGACTGCCCCTGACTGCCCCGTGACCTTGGGAAGTCATTTCACCTTTGAACCTCTTTTCATTACCTGGTAAGCGTGGATTATGGTCTCTTCCTTGTGAGGATATTGTGAAGATTAAATGCAATAATGTCTGTGAAGCTACCTAGCACAGAGCAGGTTCTCGATCCTTATTAGTTTCTGACTTCCTGCTCTTGCTGGTTTCATTACCAGGAGTAAATTGCTTGCTTGGCTTGTTTTCTTGTGTGTTCAGAAATCCCTGGAGCTGCTTCTTTGCATCTTGAACTGTAGATTTTTGCAGAGCAGCTTTTTGGAAAACCCAGGCTCAGGAAGGTTATCACATCCCATGGATTGATTAAAAGTAAACCTGGGACTAAAACCCAAGCCTCAGGACTCCAGTCCTTTCCACCAGTCCAGGGTTATTGGTCGTGCTTTCTGCTTTTCTGAGAAGTGTGGGCATGGGAGATATATGCTTTGACTTTTTTATTGACTCTGAAGTTACCAGCATTTGGAGCAGTATCTCATAAAGCTTCAAGTAATTTAGCATGCATAAACTCAGTTCATATAATGAGCTATCATTATGCACGTTAGCTTGATTTTTTTTTTTTTAAAGCAGATTACCAAACCCTTAGGGCAGAGCTGCCTGTAAACTGATTAATGACTTCAGAATAATTGCACTGCTGTCAGGAAATTGTATGACTTTGAATGGTAATATCCTTTTGTGTTATAATTTTAAAGGTGGTGAATCATATTTTTGGCTGATATAATTATCGCCCCCCTCATTTAAAATGTAATTACCATAAAAGATTAAATTTTGACGCAGTTTGATACAGGCTTTGATTTAGTTCATATTCTAGAAGAATGGTGTCTGGATTCTCTTGGAATTTATGTACCTGCTTGTCGATATCCACGCTGTTTCATTTCTTGTGTTTTTCTCCCCTTGTTTGGTAAGGCAGGCCATTCGGGGGGCATCTTTTGTGTTACTTCTAAAAGCCTCTAAGACTGTCTTCTTAGCATGCAAAGAACACTTCTAAATCAGGGACTAAGAAAAGAATGACAGTCCAGTAGAAAAAAATAGTGACTTTATGTAATAGGATGACACCTGGTCTCTTAATCACATGAGTCCTAGAGGTGAAGGGTGCACACGCTGGCCCCAGGTGGCATGACTTCAGGTCCCGAATCTTCCACTTACTAGTTTGAGCAGACTCTTAAAATCCCTTTGTCTCCATTTCCTTGTCTGTCCAGTGAGGATTAAATGAATTAGTAAATGTTAAATAACTTGGGACAGTATTTGGCACACAGTACTCAAGAAGTGTTAGCTGTTGCTATGATTGTGATTATTTAAAAAAAAAAATTATCCCAACCTCACTCATCCTAAAAGAAGTTCAAGTTTAAACAAAGCTGAGACACGTGAAAGTACTCCGTGAGCAAGGGTGCAGGTGGAGGGCAGTGCCGCGTGTGGGTGATTCTTTTATATTAAAATATTGGCACTGCTTTCAGTCAGCTCAGTTCCGTCGCTCAGTCGTGTCCGACTCTTTGCCACCCATGAACCGCAGCATGCCAGACCTCGCTGTCCATCACCAACTCCTGGAGTCCACCCAAGCCCATGTCCATCGAGTCGATGATGCCATCCAACCATATCATCCTCTATCATCCCCTTCTCCTCCTACCCTCAACCTTTTCCGGCATCAGGGTCTTTTCCAATGAGTGAGCTTTTCACATGAGGTGGCCAAAGTCCTGGAGTTTCAGCTTCAACCTCAGTCCTTCCAATGAACACCCAGGACTGATCTCCTTTAGGATGGACTGATTGGATCTCCTTGCAGTCCAGGGGACTCTCAAGAGTCTTCTCCAACACCACAGTTCAAAAGCATCAATTCTTTGGCTCTCAGTTTTCTTTATGATCTAGCTCTCACATCTGTACATGACTATTGGAAAAACCATAGCCTTGACTAGACGGACCTTTGTTGGCAAAGTAATTGTCTCTGCTTTTTAATATGCTGTCTAGATACTGCTTTAGCAGAGGAGAATTTAAAATAGCTGTTAAAGGTAAAAGAGCTATTAGATTTTGACCCTGCTGTTCCACTTTTAGGGATTTATCTTAGAAACATATATTAAAAAGACATGTATGTATGTGAGCAGTAGTTTCAGTGTTGTTCATGTTAGCAACAGACTGGTAGTGACTGATCTGTTTCTGGCGGGAGACACTTAAATTGTTAAATGTGTATAATGAAATGTGCTGTGGGGCCACCGAAGAGAGATGATGTACATGTGTTAATGATGCCAAAGATGTACTATTACGGGGAAGGGGAACCTTTCACACCCACACCCCCACACCCGCCAGGTAAGTCTGCACTGTCTCTGGAAGGAATTAGAATCAACTGTGGTAGCGATTGCTTTTGAAGAGAGGGTCAGGGAGGGATGGTAGGGAGACTGACTTTCCTGTATTCTTTTGTATCATCTGAAACAGAAAAATGTTAATATGCCTAAGTGTTAGTTTTTCCCCTCCCTGGAGTTCTTTATGTGCTCCCGCCAGCACGCACACACAGATGTGTGTGTGCATGTACATATACTGTCACGCACACTTTTCAGAACAAATGTCAGTCCAAGTGTCCGACTGTGCAGTGATAAGAACCAGCCCATGCTGGTGGTGGTTAATGCTGAATATGCACTGTGATCCTTGGGGCATTGCAAGCATCTTACCCTTCTCATCCAAGCAGGTGCTGATGAGAAAAACCTCCCTGGGTGGTGGAAACTGAGGCCCTGGCTAAGTAAGCCCAAGACCCAGGGCTCTCCTTTAGTTGCTGGCAGAGGTGCTGGGGCCAAAAAGACCTTGACTTGTGTGTCTGTTTTTAGAGATCTGAGAAGAGTGAGTTGGAAGGACCACTAAGAGTTCTGTGCCTCATTAGGAAACCCTGGATGTGTCTGTCAACTCTTTGATTCTATTTCAGTTTCCAGAGGTGAGAGCCAGACTGGAAACTCACGTGGCTTGATAGATTTTTGTGTTTTGTGCAACCCCCTGGAATTTCTGGAAATACTTTTGAACCCTCAGAGAATTGGAGCTATGACCAAGATTCTTTGTGTGAAACTTCTTGAACAGATCAAATGTAGAGTTTTACGGAAATTGGTACATATCTCTACCTTGTATAGGATGCTCTTTAAGCTGATTGCTACCTGCCTGAAGGCTGTAGTTATCAACTCTGACACCATGATGAGGGTGAATTGGCTTATCCTTGTGTGTGTAGCATTTCTCTGTGAAATGCAATGTGGTCTGTATATATGTAGAAAAGGTAGTCATATAAATTACACATTGAATATGGTACTTTCTTTTATGGTTTCAGCCAGTAAATCTTAGGCTATTGCTTCTTAATATTTTTGCCACTCCAGGCTGTTGAGGGATGTTCCATTTCTATCAGTAAACAGTGGCCCATTGGGGCAGTGATTTTTCTACAAGGGACCCAGGGGTCTTTTAGGGTATCCTGGGGGCAGTAGTGGAGAGTGGGAAGGTAGAGATAGATGGTTCTGATTTTTATAACACACACACACGCACTCACACTCTCGTAGTAGATGAGAATTAACTCTCTTAGACAAATGAATATTGTAACCTTTAACTTTATCTCATTACCCTGGAGGCAGAAATACCTGATAAAACCTTGATTTCACTAGCTGGCATGTCTTCTCTCCATTTATGCGCTGTCAGATTGCACATAAAACATGTTCGTGACCGATGAGCCCTGACTTGTAAGCGGGTAAGACAGACAGCTGGTTCTAACCGGTGGTTCTTCTCATTACAGGAAAAGGCACAGCTTCGAAGGTGGAGGAAGGATTGGACACGGTGCTGGGGAACGTGGGCCATCCATTGACCCGAAAGTAGGTGGTTTATTCTGAAATCAGCTTCTGTTTCCTCTTTATGAACGTGGTCTTTTTCTGTTTCAGCAAGTGGCTGTTTAATCTCTTCCGGAACCCTCTGGTTTGTTACAGCAGAGATGTCGGCTCCTTTGTAGGAATTACCTGAAGCCAGAGTCATGGTGGACGTGGGCAAGTGGCCCATCTTCACCCTGCTGTCGCCTCAGGAGATTTCATCCATCCGGAAAGCTTGTGTCTTCGGCACCTCAGCCAATGAAGCGCTCTATGTCACTGACAGCGATGAGGTGGGCCTCTTCCAAACCCCAGAGCTTCCTTCCAGGGCTTTCCGGGAGGTGGGGTCTGCCATGCGCAGACTGAGAGAAAAGGAGGGCAGAAAGAGAACCTGAAATCCAAAAAGACGGTGTGTCTTTGATGTAATTTGTCTTTTCCTTCAGTTTCTTGATTTAATACCCCTCATCCCTGCTGCCCTTCGAGTTTCATTGCTTGTTGCTCAGGAGCTTGGTCGTGTCTGGGTGACCCCCTGGACGGCCGCATGCCAGGCTTCCCTGTCCTTCACCATCTCCCGGAGTTTGCTCACACTCATCTCTGTTGAGTCAGTGATGCCAACCAACCACTGAATTTCACGGTACAGCCAGATATTATAAAACTTAAGTAGGCAGCAGAGGTTGAATTTTAACAGCTGTATCAGCCCCTACCTATCTGCTGAACGGTCAAGCTGAGCTGAAGCGCGTCTTGTGTTCAGGGTGGAGAAGGGACCCTTTGTGTAGCTGTAGACCAAGTGACTCAGACAGAACTGTTTGTCTCCCAGGTCTTTGTATTTGGACTGAACTACAGTAACTGTTTAGGAACTGGAGATAACCAGAGTACACTTGTACCCAAAAAGCTGGAAGCCTTATGTGGAAAGAAGATTAAGAGTCTTAGTTATGGGAGTGGACCCCATGTTCTTCTCAGCACTGAAGGTAAAGCGGCAACAAGTTCAGCTTCTTCTGTTTGTGGGAAATCGAGTGATTAATTCTAAGCTAAAAGGAGGTAGAGTTGTGCCACATACTGAGTTTCAAATGTTTTGTTTCTTATTTCTGAGCGGAAGTACATAAAGCTGGTGAAAGTTACTAAACACTTCAGGCTCTGCTTGGAACAGCTGTCAGATGACTTTCATCATCATCTGAGGTTTTAGACGGCTTCTGTCAAGTTGTGGAAGATGAACCGCAGCAGACGAAGTGGCCCTTCAGCCCAGTTTTCAGTGAGCTTTGTTGTAGCATGGCAATGTCCAGGTTTTACTTGGTATGTTTTTAAAAACACAGGTGATACTGGTTTTGCTTTGCCAGTGTCATTTCTGAATCTTGAATTCAAGAAGTCTCAGTTCATTTCCTGGCATTCATATGGCTGTCATAGAAAAAAGGTGGGGTAGATTCTTCCTGCCTCCCCGAGACCCCCAGAGAGGCCTCTGTGTTCCTCCCAGGCTGCAGATCTGCACCGTGGGCGCCCGGAACTCCCCGAGTCTGTCATACACAACCCGGCTTCTTCCCTTCACACTTTCGGCACATGAGTTCTTGCTCTCTAGCTTTTTGTTGGGTAAACTGTAGGGTGCGCGTGGGAGCGTTTGCGTCCCTGCCTTTCTGACTCTAGCCTGGGGAATCATGGCTTCCTTGGATGTAAGCACTGGTCTTAGTATTGAGCTTTTTAGTTGCCTTTGACCCCCACTGGAATCCAGCTGGGTTCTCGGCATCTTCCTCAGGCTATGAGGTCCAGATGTGAGCATGACTGTCTAGTGAGAGTGTAACCGGCATGGAGCATAATGAGGTGATTATTCTGCCTCTGAGTTGTGTGATCCTGCCTTCTGGCATCACATGGGCCCTTTCAAGCAGCTGCTTCTTTGCTGGCTGGCTCAGCTTGTCATCCATTGTGACCTAATGGTTTAATGTTTTCCTAACGCATTAATTTTTTAATGCAGCAATTGACTTCCTACCGTAAAATAGTGAAGCGTTTTTTTTCAAGAGCAAACATATTAAAACATGTGCATGACCTTGGGAGACTATTAACTTTTGGAATTATTTTTGGAGTTCAGATCCTGCAGTTTTAAATATCTTGAATGTTATAATTAAGATATACATAAGCAGAAAGCACAGAAATAAGTAACTGATTTTCTTGTGGGAGTAGTCTTCTTTTTGTGTTTAATTCAGTTTTGATTGTTCTAATACATTTTACATAACATATATATGATATGTGATATATAGCATGTTTAATTATGTATAATATATACATTTGTGTGTATTTTGTATCTATCTCAAGTAGTCATATAGTTCAAAAACAATTTAACGCCTTAAACCATCAATGTATGACTTTTAGTAAAAACCAGCACTCAGTTTCATCCATCCTTACTCTTAAAAACCACTCCTTTTTAACTCCTTCAGGTGTTTTTTTCTGACTTTTATTTATTTATTTTTTTTCTGACTTTTAATCTCATGTTTTTAAATTAATATGCTTATGCTGTTGGTTTTGAATTTTAAGTTTAGACCTTATCCGTTGACTTTATGTAACAGCAGATAGAATTAGCACTCTTTCTAATTAGCCTGATTGGCCTTCCTTCTCAGAGAAGGCAATGGCAACCCAGTCCAGTACTCTTGCCTGGAAAATCCCATGGATGGAGGATCCTAGTAGGCTGCAGTCCATGAGGTCGCAAAGAGTCAGACACGACTGAGCGACTTCACTTTAACTTTTCACTTTTCACTTTCATGCACTGGAGGAGGAAATGGCAACCCACTCCAGTGTTTTGCCTGGAGAATCCCAGGGATGGGGGAGCCTGGTGGGCTGCCGTCTATGGGGTCGCACAGAGTTGGACACGACTGAAGCGACTTAGCAGCAGCAGCAGCCTTCCCTCTGCTTCTCCTGTCAGTATAGTGATGTCACCACGTCACCATGTTCAGTTTTCACACTCCTGGGACTCGAAAAGTGTTATTCGTTGCTGAGCCATTCTCCTTTCTTACACAGCTGTTTGCTTTCCTGGTCTTACTTTTCTCCCCATCTGTCATTAACATGAGCCTGAACTCCGCTGTATCGCAGTGTTGCTTCTGGGCACCTCGGAGCCCATCAGGCCGCTCCAGGTCACCCTGTCCCCCGGCTCCAGCCTGGACTGGTCACTCTAAGCTGTTGCACACCTGTTGTGCTAGATCTTCATTTCACCGTCATCCTCCGAAGTCACTTCACCTTTGTCCTTTCTGAATCACCTACGTTTTGTGTCCTGTGTCTTCCTCCTTGGATTATAGCCTCATGTGGGTGAGACACATTTTCTAGTAGCTTCCCAAGAAAGGGATATGAGAGAAGTCTTTGAGACACCATCTTAAAATGCCTTAATCTTCCCCAGGCAATTGATCCATGACTTGTCTGCACAAAAAAGACAAAACAACAACAAAACAGCATTTCCGTTCCAATCCTTTAATAGTATTTTGAGCATTTGCCTCTAATACCTGGTAGGCAGAGCTCAGTCCAGAGTAAAGGGTCTCTTCCTGGTTGGATCCTTTATAGCCCCTGAGGCCACTTGCGTTGTTCCAGCATAATCTAATCCCCTTGCCAGCTCTGTTTGGGGGCATTTTCCCCATAGCCCTGCAGTCTTTCTTGTTGACAGAATGGTTCCTGTGCCTGCATTTTGTGCCTCTCAGGTGCAAGAGGAAGATGTCTAGATTCAATGCATCTCTGCAGCCCCCCACACCGACTCATTTCATGGCCCCGGGAGGCCACCCCAAGAGAGTGCACCAGATGGTCACCTGGTGGTTCCCATCACCTTGTGATGGGCATCGACACGTCCTACTTTGATGCGCCTCTTTAATTCTCAGAGTGATCGCATAGGGCCGTGCCCATGTGGGCGTCCCTTTTCCAGTCCAGTTTCCATTGCCTGTCCACCTGACCACACAGCCAGGCCATTGGCTGTAGCTGGTGAGTTGGTAAAGACCTGACCACAGGGGCTTTTCTGATCATTCAGTTCTTGCGTCACTGCTGGGAAAACAGCCTGCAGTTCAGCCACTGAGCTGATTGTTCTTGCCTCCTGCAGCCAGTCTTGCCATCCACTGGTTTTAATGTGGCCACTTTCCAAATGGGAGAGTGTCCATTTGCCATGAAACTGCGTCTGTAAGGCCAGCAGCTCTTGGTTGCTCGGTTAGAGCTTCACAGGGCATGTCCATAAGGCAGTGGGTTCTAGCAGCTTCTCAGCCTGCTCCAGAGTTGGTCCTCGATGAACAGAGGCTGCCTGCTTCATGATACAGCAGGCACCTCCCCACCTTACCCCAGCAGCACGCCCCCTGGGTAAAACATTTCTGTTTTATTTTGAAACCCTCTGGGCATTGCCTTCCTTACTAGAGTGCTTCTCCAACACCACCCAAGATGTTGTGGGTATCTCAGGTTTCATGATTATTTTATGTCTTTCAGTCATTGAGGGAATCTCAGTTACCGCCCAGGCTACTGATTTCCTCTCAAATGGTGAGCACCAGGCAGCAGCATCTGGGAAATTTCTGGTCTGAAATCCCAGTGGTCACTGCCGGGAGTGCTCTGGGTAGGCTGTAAGCTCCTGGTGCAGAGTGCAGGTGGCAGGTGCTCTCAAGGTCACGTCTGAGTCAGTGCCTTCCCACCCTTCAGCAGTAGGAGAGCTGCCACCCTCTGCTAACTCAGACATACCTGCTCTCATTCGAGACCCCACTCAGATCCAGCTGTCTTTCGGGTAATCTTACAAATGGGGGTTCCCTGCTGGCTTAGTGGTGAAGAATCCACTTGCCAAGCAGGAGATGCAGGCTCAGTCCCTGGGTCAGGAAGATCCCGTGGAGAAGGGAACGGCAACCCACTCCAATATTCTTGCCTTGGAAATCCCATGGACAGAGGAGCCTGATGGGCTACAGTCCATGCGGTTGCAAAGCATTGTACACGACCGAAGTGATTTAAAAAAGTCTGCTGTTAGTCCCCAGAAACCATCTGCCTTTCCTGCAGGCCACTGGGCAAGCTTCAATCGTTCAGCGAGTTCATTGGTCCCAGCGCCCCAGCTTGAATTACAGTGATGAACTCTTCTTATCCACGGGATGTTCTCTCTTTAAACACCTATTTGGGCTCAGGCATTCTAGGGGTTCCCATCCAATGCCCAGTTAAAACTGGCCTGAGGGTGGATTTCCACGCCTCATTTTAGGTAGGGGAAGCAGTGCCCAGTCAGAACTAATATCCATCCAATAGTACCTTCAGGTAAGAGAGACGGGACCACCTCACACAGTCTGTTCCAAAACCCCAGTTTCCATCCAGACTGTCACTTGACTCCCGTCCACTGTTGCCCGGCCACATCCTCCCATTTTAAGCTTGCCTGTTAAGACTTCACCTGCAGGCTGTGGAATCACAGTGTGCTGGTCCTCTCTCCCCCTGGCTGTTTCACTCACTTATGCCTTTGGGTGCCTGGCCAACAGTGGGGCCAGAAGATCCTGGCCTTTAGGTCAGGCTTTATCTTGATTCATCTTCCTTATCCTAGCCCCAGGGCATTCCTGGTCAATTTTCTTATCTTAATCGTTACCTTCTAGCTTTTTGGAAAGTGAAAAGTTGCTCAGTTGTGTCTGACTTTTTGTGACCCCATGGACTGTAGCCCACCAGGCTCCTCTGTCCATGGGATTCTCCAGCAAGAATACTGGAGTGGGTTGCCATTTCCTTCTCCAGGGGATCTTCGCAACCCAGGGATTCAACCCATTGGGATTGAATACAGGTGTCTCCTGTATTAAAGGCAGATTCTTTACCGTCTGAGCCACCAGGGAAGCCCTTCTAGCTTTTTAAATGCCTTTAAAACTGGGATAAATAGAGTCGACTTGTTTGGGGCCCTTCAGAGTTAGAGACCAACACGGGGTCCCTTTGGTCCAGCAGACTGTGACAGTGCCATAGTCATCCCTTGGCTTCAGTTCCATCAATATCCCTTTTATTGATCCCACTCAGTAATTGAAGACTTTTATTCTGCCGGGTTGGGTCCCTTGCTCCCCCTTTGTCTTTCTCCATTTTCATAATTCCTTTCATGTTCTCGGTAAGATCCATATGACGAAGTCAAGATAGCATATTGGATAAGGCTTCTCAAACTATTTGATTTTGTATTCAGAGGTGAATACCCCAGGTGTCATAAAGCCAGTTCCACATGGTTTGCATCTCAGCTGCTTCATCTGGGATGTTCCATTTGCCATTAATAGGGGGAGTTGGGAATTCCGTCTTGTCAGGATAAACACACTACCGTGGCTTTTATCCAGTCCACCATCCTGGCAGTCTCCTTGGGAATAACCTCCTGGGTCATGCACAGCCATGTGTGATGGTTCAGTAGAGAGTGGTGGGTCCTGCCTCAACCCACACATGCTCTTCCAGCCTGCAGCCTTGAAAACCACAGACACACCCCTTATGTCAGTTACACGCACAGCCGGTGTCAGTAAAGGTTCCTCAGGAAGCTGGTGACATCAGCCCTCAGAATGAGCCAGTTCCTGCACACCATACCCTCTGCTTTTGGTTGTTTCTTGGTTTCCCCTTCCCCACGTTAACTATTTTCTCAGTAGACTCAGAGGTATTAGAGGTACTTTCTGTTGCTCCTGCATAATTTTCTCGGCAGCTTTGAGGCAAATGGCTGAAGTACAGATTGACACAAATCTGAGCTTGAATCAACATCAAGGGCCCCACCCAGCACTTACTTTTATTTTCATTTCAGCTGTTATATATGAAATAAGCAGGAAATTGTTCATTTAGCGTGCTTATTTTGCATTTCCTTATGTATCTGTTGAGCCAGTTCCTTAGGAGTTGGCTCTACTCCCATTTCTAAATTGCATTGGTAACTTTGACCTTTGGTATCTGATCACAGCACGGCTGCAGTTTCGTACCAGGGTGACTAGGTAGCTATCCGGGAGTCAAAGTTTCCTCATTCTTTGTTCTTTAATCTCTTTGTCTTCAAAAAACAAATGTCTCTGAGCCATTTGCAGACTGTTTTGCAAATCCCATTCCTGACATCAACTAAATAGAGAGTTCTTGGTTGCAGTGTGTGTGTGTGTGACACACACAGAGAGAGAGAGAGAGAGAGACAGAAAGTGTTAGGTAATTCCTAGACCCAATCTATGTGCGTGTGTGTGTGTGTGTATAGGCACTCCCACACCAAGAAGTAATGCTTGGATATTATCAGAGTGTCCAGGAATTGCACACAATTCTGATGCTATCTACTCAGAGATAGAATCAGATCACACAGGTAAGAGGCTCAGTCCCATGACACCACCCTCCACTGGAGATGCTGGTCTCCAGCCCAGGTTGTTACTTGTGCTTGTGATTAACCGGCTACAAATCCCAGGTTCCCTCCACCTCTCCTTGGGCTTTGTGGGTTTTTGTTTTTGTTTTTTTTTTACCATTCCATGTGGCATGTGGGATCTTAGTCCCCGACCCAGGGATCAAACTCAGACTCCCTGCAGTGGAATCCTAACCACTGCAGATTCCTAACCACAGGACCACCAGGGAACTTGTGCTTTGGATTGGATTAATTTGCTGGAATGACTCAAGGAATTCCAGAAAATTGATTTGCTCATTAGATGACTGATTATTATAAAAGGATATGAATCAACAGCCTGAATAAAGGAGCCTTCATCCTTGTAAGGCCTGGTGCCCTACACAATGGCATGTGTAAGTGTTCTGGTTCTCCGATATGAAAACACTCTGAAAAGGCCAGAAAACTGTCCCCTGAGGTTCTTATGGAGGCTTCCTTATGTAGTCATGACAGCTAAGCCATTGGCATTGGCAGTTGATTCATCCTCCAGCCTTCTCCCCTCCAACCCACTTACCTTGTGGTTGGTTCTCTTGGCAATAGAGATGCCAGGAGATAATGTTCTTATTATCAAAAGATGCCCTCATCATTGTCAACTCTAAGGAGATTCCTCGGGTTTTGGGAGCTGTGAGCCAGGGACTGTGGATGATGACCATATATACAAGAGCAATGTATTTTTATAATCTGGATGATCAAATATATAATTCTTACAAATCACAACATCACTAGAAGAAGTAAAGGTTGGAACACGAGTTGTACAGCGCCTGGGAGGAAAGTTCCGGGCCGGCTGTCTCTTCTCTGAGCTGACTGTGTGTGTGTGGCCCCCCTTGTGTAGATGGAGTCGTGTATGCCTGGGGCCACAATGGCTACAGCCAGCTTGGGAATGGGACAACCAACCAAGGCCTGGCACCCATCCAGGTCTGCACCAACCTCTTGATCAAGCAAGTGGTTGAAGTAGCTTGTGGCTCGCATCATTCAATGGCTCTGGCAGCTGATGGAGAGGTAAGTGCCCTGCTCTTACGCTTTGTTTTTACTTTTATTTATCTATTTTTAATTTTTTTGGGGGGGCCATTCCTCAAGGTATGGGAGATCTTAGTTCCCTGACTGGGGATCAAACTCATGCTCCCTATAATGGAGGTGGGAAGTCTCAACCACTGGAGTGGCAGGGAAGTCCCTCGCTTATTTCCCTGTAGCTCAAACGGTAAAGAATCTGCCTGCCATGCAGGAGACCTGGGTTCAATCCCTGGATTGGGAAGATCCTCTGGAGAAGGAAATAGCAACCCATTCCAGTTTGCCTGGAGAATCCATAGACAGAGGAGCCTGATGAGCTACAGTCCATGGGGTTGCAGAAAGTTGGACACGACTGAGCAACTAATACACACAAAAGACACATAAAAGTTACCGTCTTAACCATTTTTAAGTGCTCAGTTCAGTGACATTAAGTACATTCACGTTTGCAACCATCACCACCATCCATCCACAGCACTGTTCATCTTGCAGAACTGACCTCTGTGCCCATTAAACATTAACTCTCTTTTTTAGTCCCAGCCCCTGGCAACCCCCGTTCTGCTTTCTAAGAATTTTACCCCTCTAGGTACTTCCTGTGAGTGAAATCACAGAGTACTTGTCCACTGTGACCACCTTATTTCACTTAATGTCCTCAAGGTTCATCCATGTGGCAGCACGTGGCGGATTTTCATCCCTTTATAAGGCTGACAGTGTTTCATTGTTTATCTGTTTTGTTTATCAATTTGTCTATTGATGAATATTTGGATCATTTCTACCTTTGGCCATGTGAAAGTGCCTTCCTTTTTTTTTTTTTTTAAAAAGACCATATTTGTACTTGACTTGAATATGGTGTGAACATAGCTGCCCTGGGTGCATAGCTAAAACCACTGTGAGAACAAGCTCCTTCTCTAACACAGCCTGCGTTGTGTGATCTGGAGCACTCTTTTGAAGACAGTAGACTGAATTCTTAAGGCAGTTGAGTCTCTTGCTTTTGCTTGGATTACAAATTAGATGTGTATGACAGTGTTCTGTACTGTGGTTTTTTTAATGACCCCTCCCCCCCCCCACCGTCTATTTTGTTTTTCAGTAAATGTAGTGATGTCATAGCATCACTACCAACACTCTGATTTCCTGCCCCGCCCCCCCACCAAGTTCCATGCATATCTTAAATGTTACTCATCCCGTTGGTTCTATCTTCTAGTCTTTTGTGCCATTTCGTTCCCCTTCCATCACCTTAGGTCGGGCTTTGCCATCTCCTGGACCGTTGCCATGGTCTCTTCTGTTTCATAGCTTTTATCCTTTTTTAAAATATTTATTTAGTTATTTGGCTGTGCCGGATCTTGGTTGCAGCATGCGAGAACTTTAGCTATGGGATGTGGGATCTGGTTCCCCGGCCAGGGATCAAACTCAGGCCCCCTGCACTGGGAGTGCAGAGTCTTCACCACTGGCCCACCAGGGCAGTCCCTATCCCATAGCTTTTACGTTGGTCTAAACTGTGCATTATAACTTCTCTGCCCACTGTGTCTTCTGAAATAAAAGTCAGATCCTGTTGGTCCCTGTTTAGTCCTTCAGAGGCGTTAGAGTGATTTCACTCAGTGGGGCAGGTTACAGCTGAGGAAACCAGAGCAGCTGTGAGATAAAGTTTTCGTGGCTGGAATGTGCTAGAGCCAGGCCTCGCACACAGCCCTGGTGCACGGAATCCACTGTTCCCAGTCTGTTTCTTGGTCAGTGGAACCCCAGTCCCCATTTTTTAAAAACAAAAGGCAACTGCATTGGAAGAGAACTTGGGCTATTTGAAAAGAAGTGCAGAAGGATGACGGTTAAAATTAGAACTTGCTAATTGTGCAGCCTGCATTCCTGGTTTATTGTAATCTTAAGCATATGCTACTCTGGGTAATTGGTAAATATAAATATTTACACTAGCTGTTCCTCTGAATCTTTCAGGGTTATTTCTTTTTGTGCCTATGAAATGAACCTATACCATGTATACTTTTTAAGACATCAGCCATGAGTTTCAAGACAGTACATGGGCAGCCTCAGACATGTGATCTTAGGTAGAAAATGCTGACAGAGGAAAGAACAGAGACTCATGGAAGCCAGAACTCAGGATGTGTGAGGACCACTTGCCACAGGCCAGTGAGAGGAGTGAGAGGGGTCCTCACAGATCTTCCTAGTGATGGAGGAAATTATCTCTTCTGCTGCCAGCATCTGCCTTTGGCTGACTCTTCTCTCTGGCCACATTCTTGTTTGACAAGCTCAGTTAATAGTTAACTTGAAGGGATTTTCATTTTGTTTTTCATCTTTAGCTTAGAGATCCATTTGTGTCTCTCTCCATTGGAAATATGGTTTTCAGGCTATGGCTGATCACAGGCCAGAAGTAAACAGGATGCAGTTGAGGAGGGGAGCTGCTTGGAGATGACGGCAAATGAGGACTCAGAAAACATTATCAAGAACAACTCAACATTCTAAAGCAGTAGTCCTACAGTTAAAAATAATAATGATAAAAAAAAAAGAATTTCTTAACAACCCCATGTCATTCCTGTAGGGACAAGCATCTCCTTAATACTTATGAGCCTGACTGTGTTAGGAAGTGGAACTGTGATTAATAATTATATTGATGGTGGGCTTGTGTCATCAGGAAGGGTATATAGTATCTCCCACTGGTGATTAATGAGATAGAGGAAAGTAAGTACTGTTTTGAAGGACTTCCATGGGGGAAAAAAAAAGACTATACCCAAAGAGTTAGGCTGATTTTTTTCATATCACTGATACTTACGTGGCACATCCTCATTTCCTTTGGATGCCAGATTTAAAAACCATAAAGAACTACTAAAATTATAGTGGCAGTATAACAGTGTGGAGAGCACCGCTAGATTGCTTGGGTTCATATTAGCAGTAAATCACATTTACTCGCTGTGGAATCTCAAGCAATTCACTTAACCCCTCTGTGTTCCCATTTACATGTATAAAATGGGGATGATAATAGTATTAATGCCTACCCCAGGGTCGTCTTACAGGCTTACTGTGAGGATTAGATGGGTTCCTGTGTGTGAAGCACTCAGGACCGTTAGCACACTGTAAGGACTCATTCAGTGGGTTTATTTTTGTTTAATGATGATTATTATGTGTGAGAATTTTGACCCTTACTCTTCTTTCTTTGTCTTTTTCTCCTTCTGTTGTGTAGGTATTTGCTTGGGGTTATAACAACTGTGGCCAGGTGGGGTCAGGGTCCACTGCAAATCAACCAACTCCTCGGAAGGTGACAAACTGTTTGCATGTTAAGAGGGTAGTTGGCATCGCCTGCGGTCAGACCTCATCCATGGCTGTTCTGGACAATGGTGAGGTGAGTGGTCTCTGTACCCACCTTTCTCCTGTCTTTTTCTTTATGAGGTTTGGGCTTAGATCATGAAAGGAAGAGTGCTCTGATTTGATAGCTCCATGGATAGTTAACTGACAGAGGTGTAATCACAGGCTGTTTTGAATTTTTGAATTTTAAGTTATGAATTTTTAAGTTCCAAGGTTTATCTGCAAGTAGAAGTTCGAATGTGTTTTTGCCAGATCCACATAGCCCAATGCTTATAGGCATTTGTTTGTGATTTAGTGTAGTAGATGAAAGAATTTGATGTTACCTCTTTCTTCTTATGAAAGAGGACTCTTTTCTTTTTTTTTTAAGTGAAAGCTGGTTTATTTAGAGAGATACACTTTCTATAGACAGAATACAGCCTGTCTCAGAAGATGAGACCAACCCTTAGAGAAATACTCCGAAGACAGAGTGTGGGCCATCTCAGAAGGTGAGAGGCCCTATGTGCTCTTAAAAGTTAGCTGATGGTGTTTATAAGCACTGATGCTAATGGGCATGAAGGCTCTGTGTCTGCCTATATCTGCAATGCTTGCCCCCAGGAAGAAGCAACTTGCAAATGCAGAATTTTTCATCCCGATGGTTATTAGCTACTCTTAAAAAAAAACCCACCTTTCAGTGATCCTCGACCATGGTCACCTTTGAGTTGATGGTTATTTCTGTACAATTATTCTGGTTGCAGCTTCTACTTAAATGGACCTGTTACCACTTGTACATGTCCCAGTGCACAAACACTACTTCAAGATAACTTCTTTGAATGTGAATGCATGGCATCCTGCATTGGGGTGTGAAGGTGCTGTAGAGTTTACTGAATACTCAGCTCTATGAACTGACTTTCTGAATCAAGCCTGATACTATGCTGGATGACTTCTGAATTCCTTGGGATAGTCATCTAACATCCTTCATCCCAGTATTTTCCACATCTTTATCTTATTTTTTTTCTTTTTTGAAACACTTTTTTAATTTTTAAAAGTAAATTTAATTTAAAAATTATTATTATGTGATTATTTCAACAAAGGAAAATAAATAAGACATGTGAAATAAAAAGTGAATACCTTTCCCTCCATTTTTTAATGGTTTGATGTATATCCTTTTGGGCCTTTCTGTATAAATAGTTATATACGGGTGAGTATAATTCCTACTGCTTTTCTCTGCCAGTCTGCACCTTTTCTGCTTAACAACATAGATGTTTTACCTGAATCTATTGGCAGACCATTTATAGTTGCTTCCAATATAACAGTTGCTTAATTTTCTTTGTATGGATGTGCGTTTTCCAAGACTCATATCCAGAACTCTTCTGATGGGCATTTCAACTTTTTTTTTTCATATTTGGCTATTAAAAACACTGTTAAAAAAAATAAATAAAAACACTGTTGCGCTGATTTTCTCTGTTACTGTTTGTGTGTATATCTTTGTATACACATACAAGTATTTCTGTAGAATGATTTTCCAGAAATAGGGTTTCTGGGTCAGGGAATATACCATTAAATTTTTTGATAGCTCTTGTCAAATTTCTCCCCAGAAGTTTCAAACCTGTTAGACTTCTGACTCTGAGGTCTTTTAACCATCTCTCGCCAGCACCCTGAACTCCTTGTCCCCTTTACCCCTTGTCACACAGACGTAGAAGGCCCTCACCCACGCCCGTTTGCGCTGCGTTGCCCTGGGGGTGTGTTGCCACCCACACCTGGTGTTTCTGATCCGAGCAGGCCTTCTGTCTGTTCCTGGCCAGTGCTTCACCCTGTCCCACGCGGCTGTTCTCAGCCTTCAACACTCGCTGTCAGACCTGTGCCCAGCTCTGCTGCTTTGAGCGATGACCCATCTTGCTGCAGGTGTCGGAGGGGTCCCCACATTCTCCTGTGTCTCCTCCTCTCACCTCTTTCCTCTGTCCCCTCTCTTGTGGTCCTGCCGTCACTGCCTTCGCTGGACCCCCATCAGAGCTCCCCTATATGCCAGTGGGAGATTAGTTTATGTATTTGAGGTCTTCCTGCCTCTGGTCTTGTTCACCACAGTCACCCTTCATGTTGCTGCCTGCAAGATCACTCCAGAATACAACTTTAATCATGTTAATCTCTGCTTTGGAATATTTCAGTGGCAGATCCATGGATGCATTTCACGTTCCTTGGTCTGTGCTTGGGCACTTCATCCCTTTGCCCTTACTTTTCCTTCTGGTCTTTTCCCTACCACCACCCAAGGTGGGTCCAGCCAGCCCACCTGCTTGTCTCCTGAACCTGCCTCTCCCTGGGATACCTTCATCCCCATCTACCCTTCAGCCAGATCTGAGCATCTACCCTGCTCAGATTTCTGCTCTCTGAAAATATCTTTGCTTAACTTTCTTCCTATGGCTAAGTCCTTTCTCCTCTCTGCCTGTAGTGCCTTGATTATATCTCTACCCCAGCACTTGCCGTCTGGCTGCAGAAAAATTGCATATGTCCATCTCCCCTGTTCAACTGCTTCCAAAGACTTAATTCCTAGTACTTTTCCAAAAGCCTGAAATACAGTAGGTGATTAGTAGTTGTTAATGAGCCTCAGGTTCCTCTTGTAGCAAGCAAGAATTAATGACTCGCCCAAGGCCATCCAGCTAGTAAGCTGTGTAGTAGAAACTGCCGGATTCTGTCATCCCCAAGCCTGAAACATCTTCTGTTTGGAGATCAGTTGTAGGACCTCATTCAGTAGAACATGAGTGTTGGAAGTGAAAGGAATCTCTCATTTGTTTAGATGGATTTCCTTTTATCTCTTTCCTCTTACCAGCAGTTTTAAAACTCTCGTCTCCCCTTTCTCTAAGGTGTATGGCTGGGGCTACAACGGCAATGGTCAGCTCGGCTTGGGAAACAATGGCAATCAGCTGACCCCCGTGAGAGTGGCAGCTCTGCACCGGGTGTGTGTGAACCAGGTATGTGTGGTGGGCTCCGAGCCACTGCCTCCCGTCCATCTTCCCTGCTCTGACTTGGAATATCTGTGGGAATTTAGTTCCCGGACCAGGGATTGAACTTGTTCCTTCTGAATAGAAGCACGGAGTCCTAATCATTGGACCGATAGGGAAGTCCCAGAGATTTATTCTTTAATAAGACTTTTTGAACAGTGCCCCGTGCCTTCATCTGCCACATTTAATATTACATCCTCCCTAAATTCCCATGATGAGAAGCAAGACCGTGGTGCTAGCACATTGGTCTTGATAATTTGAAAAGCTACTGGGAAAAATCCGGTAGTCTCAGGTATAGGCTTTTCTAATGCTTTTTTAATGTTCCAGAGAATGTCAGTCCACACCTGATGATGAATTGGCATTCTGCAGGAGCTGGCTGTAATCTTTAAGTAGATGTTTCCCCTGCCCTTCCTGTTCTCCTGTTGATGGTAACCATGTAAATTTACTTGCAGATTGTCTGCGGCTATGCACATACTCTAGCACTAACCGATGAGGGCTTGCTCTATGCCTGGGGAGCTAACACGTATGGGCAGCTGGGAACTGGCAATAAAAATAACCTGCTAAGCCCAGCACACATCATGGTGGAGAAAGAAAGGTAACTTGGCGGTACCATGTCTTGGGATTGTGTGTGCATGGGGACTTGGGCCTGTGTGCGCTGGAGCGCTGGTGTTTGGCTTTGTAGCTCTTCTGTTCATTAACATTCTCACTGTGAACAAAAGAGTGCTGTTTTACCAGTCAGAGTGAACGTGAAGTTGACATGATTCTCATGCAGCTTTCTGAGGTGACCACCTGAAATAACCACTGATAGGCATTCATGCATTTTGGTGTATTGCTTGCAGACTTCCTAGTAGGGTCTGTCACCATGTTGAAATGTAAAGCATATTATTTTCCCTTTGAGCCAACTAAACTTTTAAATGAATAAAATCTGCCCTTGAAAGGCCACTATCTGTTTAAATATTGATTTGATTTAATGTGTGTTACTAGAATAGATGCTTTATGTTTGCTGAGCCATAATGTGAGGTCTTGCGCACCGAGCTTTCGGATGTTGACTTCTAATTCTGGGATGCCACCTAGGAAGCATGCAGAGCAGTGTAGTAAGTTTGGCTTGATGTCCGTTTGGATTGGGGTATTCAGAGTCCATGAGCCCTGCACCACTGCTTACTCAGCCTAATGAGCCTTCTGAGCCCCGACTGGGGGTAAGAGAGAAAGTTGGATTTGTAGGGAAATGGTTTATTGAATACAGTATTTTTTGCTACTGGTTAAGCCCCCAGAACTGCCAGGACATTTTTTTCAGTGGCTGCTTTACTCATTTACGTTGGTCGCTAGTACGTTTTCCCAGGTTTTCCTCCACAGTATGTATTACCCGTCCTAACCCAGAATGAGCTTCGGGTGAGAAGGGGGCCACCCAGGATGGGCGTAACCCGGAGCTGTTGCTCCAGTCTGTGGGTTTTGTCCATGTGGCCTGGCAGCTAACGTTCCTGGATCTTGGGCTCTTTGAGGTGTTCGGAACACAGAACTTTTATTTGCCGTGTGTGGTGCGCTTGGGCCTCTGTGAAGAAAACGTAACGTGCGTTTTTCTTAAAACTCTCCAGGGTGATAGAGATCGCGGCCTGCCACTCGGCGCACACGTCTGCCGCCAAGACGCAGGGCGGCCACGTGTACATGTGGGGCCAGTGCCGCGGCCAGTCGGTGACCCTGCCGCACCTCACGCACTTCTCCTCCACCGACGACGTGTTCGCCTGCTTCGCCACGCCCGCCGTCACGTGGCGCCTGCTGTCTGCGGGTGAGCGCGCCCGGCCGCCCCCGGGCCCGGGCACCGTCAGCCGAGCCGTGGGCTCCGGCGGTTCAGAAAGCTTTCACACGCTTCCCCAAGTTAGATTTGCGTGATACTGTTTATTAAAATGCTGTGGAATATTCTATGAATTTATTATTTCCTCCTCTTCGGTGTTTTCAGTTTGAGGTGAAATTCACATACAAAAATTAACCATTTTTAAAGTATAAAATTCAGAGGCATTTACTGCCTTCACCATGTTGTGCAGCCAGCATTTACATCAAGCTCTAAAGCATTTCATCACCTCAGAAGAAAACCCTATACCCATTACACAGTCACCCCCCTTTCTTTCTTTCCCCCAACCACTGGCAACTACCAATTTGTTTTGTTTTGTTTCTATGGATTTACCAGTTCTAGATGTTTCCCTTAAGTGGAATCTTACTATGTACAACCTTTTCTGTCTGACTTCTTTTACCCAGTGCTTTTGAGACCCATCCAGGTTGTAACATAATACATGTCAGTACTTCTTTTTATGACTGAGCAGTGTTGTGTTGTATATATAGACCACAGTTTGTTTGTCATCTGTCTGTTGATGGACATTTGGATGGTTTCCACTTTTTGGCTATTGTGAATACTGTTATGAACATTCGTGTACAGATATTTGAGTGTGTACAAATATTGTTAAGTGCTTTTGTTATACTAAATTTATTATATAATTTACTATGAACCAAAAGTGAACTTACAGAAATGAAGAACTTGTTAACTTTGTGGAGTTGATTCCCCTTTTTTTCTCCTTTTTTCCTTTCAACCAATCTCAAAGTTTTTTTTCCTTGGAGGAGAGCTAAGGAGAGGTATTAGGAAGGATAGGGGGACTTCCCTGGTAGTTAAGACTCTGCTCCCACTGCAGGGGGCCCAGGTTCGATGCTGCGAGTCTTGAGGGAAGTCCTCATGTTGGGGGACTTGGAAATGGGTCTCCTGTGTCAATAGTACCTTCATTCAGTGCCGGTGAGGGTCTCTGGAATTTTTAAGTTTCCCCGTTAGCCACCTTCTTCCTCTTTTCCTTTATTCACACATGTAAAGCACAAGAAAGTGTTGCATGAGTTTAAAAATTAATGCAGCACAAATAATAATCCTTACACACTGTGCTTTTCCTTACACGCCTTTGCTTTTCTTCATGATAACACAATTCTACTTATGTATGACAAAAACTACTGCAATGAAGTAAAGTAATTAGCTTCCAACTAATAAAAATAAATGGAAAAAAAATAAAATAATAAAAAGAATCTACCTACAATGAAAAAAAAAAAAGAATTATATGTCCTTGCACCTTTTTATCAGGCAGTGTGACCACAGTTTTGTGAAGCTGCTCCTGTTAAGTACACATTCCTACTAAGTAAATTTGCTGTGCTTTTAGATAGTGTGTAAGGATTATTATTTGTGCTGCATTAATTTTTAAGGTTAAGAAGGATGTTTAGATGCCAGATTCGGAGGGGAAAGGGTCACCCTAGGAAAGAACACCACTCTAGCGTGACCACTCAAGTGAGGAGTGTGTTTCGTAGGACTCCTTGAATTGAATTTACCAACTCCTTGAAACTACCCTAAAAGCAGAGCAAAGCTTCAGTAGAGGAAAACTGATCAATTCTCAGCCTTAGATGAACACTGCTCAAACTTTCGAGAGAAGAGTTTGTGTAAAATGACAATCTATAACTTTTTCTTTTCAAAAAGATTTTTTTTGATGTGGACCATGTTTTTAAACTCTTGATTGAATTTGGTACGACAGTGTTTCAGTTTTATGTTTTGGTTTTTTTGGATTTTAGCTTCCCGCCTAGGGATCAGACCCACACCCTCTGACCTAGAAGGTGAAGTCCTAACTACTGGACTATCAGGGAAGTTCCCAGAATACACATTTTTAATGTCTAGCTTAGCATGGAAGACCGGTTTTTGGCCTTTCCAAATATACATTTTTTTAAATTAACTTATTTTTTATTGAAGGATAATTGCTTTACAGAATCCAAATATGCATTTTTTCCTTATAGTTTATACACTTGGTGACATTTAGGTATCACCAACTTTTGATCACCACCTTCTCATCTCAAGGAATCAAAAACCACCTCAAGCGTCTATAGTACCTTCATTCATTGATGACGAGGGTCCCTGGAGTCTTTTGTCTCCCTGTTAGCCCGTGAAATTTAATTTAATTTAATTTAATTTAATCTAATTTCTGTGACGTTGATTTTAATACTGGAAAGTTGATTTGTTGAGTAAGGTGTGAACTCTTCTAAGAAAAATCTAATGGAATTATCCATCATGCTAGTCACCATCTTTCTGAAGTCTTTCAAAGCTTGAGCACCTGTGTTAATGTGCTTGCTTCTGCTTCCTTCAGAGCATGAAGACTTTCTAACAGTTGCAGAGTCACTGAAGAAAGAATTTGACAGTCCAGAAACTGCCGATCTGAAGTTTCGAATTGATGGGAAATACATCCATGTCCATAAAGCTGTTTTGAAAATCAGGTATTTTCTCATGAGTTTAGGGTCATCAGTAACCTTACTCTTTGCAGTCTCCATTTCTTTGTTATTCCACACAGTGGAGACTAATAAGGACTAATCTTGGGAGTAGAGTGAAACAGCACACTTAATAATTTTGCATGTAGTATCAGTCCACTCATTATTGAAAAGTGTATGTTTGTGTGTGTATGTGTGTGCGTGTGCACTCATGTGCCTTTTAGAAAAAACATAATGTGGGAGTATTTTTCTGTATTGTTTGTTAAATGAAGTAGCTCATACATAATTATTTCCATCAAAAAAAATTGTATACAGGTTTAAGAAAATACAAAGGCCCATCAGTGAAAAGTGTATATGTCTTCTTTTAATTAAAACTTCCAGAGAAGGCAATGGCACCCCACTCCAGTACTCTTGCCTGGAAAATCCCATGGATGGAGGGTCCTAGTAGGCTGCAGTCCATGGGGTCGCTAAGAGTCAGACACGACTGAGCGACTTCACTTTCACTTTTCACTTTCATGCATTGGAGAAGGAAATGGCAACCCACTCCAGTGTTCTCGCCTGGAGAATCCCAGGGATGGGGTCACACAGAGTCGGACACGACTGAAGCTACTTAGCAGCAGCAGCAGCAATTAAAACTTCATTTTCCACAAGCAGAAAACTTAGGAATACTGGACTTTCTGGTCCTGAGAGACATCTAATTCCCAGTTGAAGAAATGTTCTCTAAATATGGTGCATGGCAGGAGTTCTTTGTATAAATGTGAGGGAACTTTATATTTATTAATAACTGGATGATTGCTCACTGAGGCTGCCATTCGAGAGAGAGGCACGTAAAATCTGACCATTAAGAGTTAAACTGTCCATTTACGAGTCTTTTTTCAAAATTTAGTTTAACATTTATTTACAAAATAACATGTTTTTAGGGAATTAAAATGCTGTGTCATTCATTACTTTAAGGGAGTAAGTGTCTACATCAAAGTAGTCATTGAAAAGGTGAATGGGAATTGTTTCTGTCCGAAGACCTGTGGTCAGCCCATCAGTCCCTTTCCTGTGTAGTGTTCTGACCGAGTTCATCTATTAACCCTTGCCTAGGCAACTGTAACTTTTTCCCTCTCAGATGAGGTAATTTCCTTTGTAAGTGGAGCCATTCTTTCAGTATTTTGAATGGATATTGAAAATATTCTTGTGTTTTTCTACTGTAACTCATTTTAAAAAGGATTTGAAAAGATGATTTAAAAAAAGAATTATGAAGTGTGTTATACTTTAAGAAAATCAAATATTCAGAAATCAGTTCCTCATTTAGGTGTATCTGTACGTGTAAATATAATACAAAAAGACCTATTTAGTTTTTCTTCAAATATGTGACAATCCTAGTGAGTGTGCTTTACAAATAAATTGGTAACAGGCTTGGGAGGAGAAGAAGGGAAGCAGATGAAAGAAAAGGAACAAAGTTGGGATGGTGGCTGTTTTGAGGATGAGTCAGAAAAGAAGGAAAGTTGTCATGTACGTTAATGGAATAAAAATCCTTTTGAACGTAATCCAGTTAACTTTTAAAACCATTTTAAGAATGTGCTGATTACGAAAATGTGCTGATGACATACAAAAGTTGAATCATTTGAGTGATATTAATATATATCAAAAGTTTGAACAGTCGCTTTTGAGTTTCTTTTCAGTTTCATTGTTTGAAATGCCCTTCTGTATAACATCTTTTAAACAAAACAGGTGAGCAAAAACCTTAATCTGAATGAGGTCTGTCAGATGCAAACAGTGGTACTTGTTGAAGCGCTGGTTACTTTGAGGCTATGTATACTTCTTATTGTTTAATAGGCAATACCTTAAAAAATGAAAGGGAGTATACGTAAAGGTGAATATAAAAACCCTTGCATGTGGAATATATTTTGGTTCTTGTACGTGGAATGAATGTCCTACTCAAATAGAGTAAACATACCTGTAATACTTGTTTATCCCTGCTTCCATCAACTTAAGTAGGTAAGTTTTGCTGTTCTGTTTCAGGTGTGAGCACTTTCGATCCATGTTCCAGTCTTACTGGAATGAGGACATGAAGGAGGTGATAGAAATAGACCAGTTCTCCTACCCTGTGTACCGTGCCTTTCTCCAGTACCTCTACACAGACACAGTGGATCTGCCACCTGAGGACGCTATAGGTACCAGCCGTGTTGGGACTGGCCAAGACACAGGGTCAAAAGTATTGAGCTCACATTGTGAGTCAGCTGGTAAAGAATCGGCCAGCAATGTGGGAGACCTGGGTTCAATCCCTGGGTTGGGAAGATCCTCTGGGGAACGGAAAGGCTACTCTCTTGGGTATTCTGGCCTGGAGAATTTCATGGACTGTATAGTTCATGGGGTCGCAAAGAGTTGGACACAACTGAGCGGCTTTCCCATACTCTTATAGTTCAGTTCAGTTAGTTGCTCAGTCATGTCTGACTCTTTGTGATCCCATGGACTGCAGCACACCAGGCCTCCCTGTCCATCACCAACTCCCGGAGTTTACTCAAACTCAGGTCCATTGAGTCGGTGATGCCATCCAACCATCTCATCCTCTGTCGTCCCCTTCTTCTCCCACCTTCAATCTTACCTAGCATCAAGGTCTTTTCCATTGAGTCGGTTCTTCACGTTAGGTGGCCAAAGTACTGGAGCTTCAGATTAAGCATCAGTCCTTCCAGTGAATATTCAGGACTGATTTCCTTTAGGATGTACCGGTTGGAACTCCTTGCAGTCCAAGGACTCTCAAGAGTCTCCTCCAACACCACAGTTCAAAAGTATCAGTTCTTCGGCGCTCAGCTTTCTTTATAGTCCAACTCTCACATCCATACATGACCACTGGAAAAACCATAGCTTTGACTAGATGGACCTTTGTTGAAAAGTAATGTCTCTGCTTTTTAATATGCTGTCTAAGTTGGTCATAACTTTTCTTCCAAGGAGCAAATGTCTTTTATTTCATGGCTGCAGTCACCATCTGCAGTGATTTTGGAGCCCCCCAAAATAGTCAGTCACTGTTTCCATTGTTTCCCTATCTATTTGCCATGAAGTGATGGGACCAGAGGCCCTGATCTTAGTTTTCTGATAGTATTGAAGGATAAAAGGTTTCAGGTTTATTGGTTTTTTAGGTGGTTTCTAGGAATAATTTAAATGCCTTTAGAAACAGTATTGTATTTGGGTGAGAGATAAACTTCCAATTTGGGGTTAGTAGATGCAAACTGTTACATACAGGTTGGATAAGCAACAAGGTCCTACTGTATAGCACAGGGAACCATATTCAATGTCCTGGGATAAACCATAATGGAAAAGAATGTAAAAGAGAATATGTTGTTCAGTCGCCAGGTCGTGTCAGACTGTTCACAACCCCATGGACTGCAGCATGCCAAGCTTCCCTGACCCTCACAGAGAATATATATTTGTCTCATGATATGCTCCGAGAGATGGTAAAGGACAGGGAAGCTTGGCATGCTGCAGTCCATGAGGTCATGAAGAGTCAGATGCAACTGAACAACATGATAGAATATATGTGTATAACTGAGTCACTTTGCTATACAGCAAAAATTAACACAACACTGTAAATCAACTATACTTTAATTAAAAATTTTAGAAAGTATTATATAGATATCAGGGTTAATAATTATGGACACAGTTTATGACTGTAATCTTATTTTACTCTTTTAATCCTGAAGTATAAGTTGCTGATGAATTGAGCATATCATTTTGGAAACACAGTTAGGGGAAAAATCGATTTTTTTCGTCTTCCTTTGTACTATAGAAGAAACCGTATAAAGGGGGTATAGGGAAGGTGTGTTTGGGAGGTGGGGAAAGGACAAACTAAAAAAGAGAATTTATTTAATAAGATTCAGAGTACTGTTCCCTAAGAAGCTCCTGCTGACTTATCTGTACAACTGTCTTTACCAAAATGAAATATATATGTTTACAGATGATTGGAAACTATTTTCAGCTCCATTAAGCAACCCATACTTTACTTTTAGGTCTTCTGGACTTGGCAACGTCTTACTGTGAAAACAGACTGAAGAAACTTTGTCAGCATATCATCAAGCGAGGAATCACCGTGGAGAATGCCTTCTCACTGTTCTCCGCTGCGGTCAGATACGACGCAGAGGTAATGTGAACCAGCACGCAGAAACACACACCACCCATAACTCCCCGTGGGCACCTTTCTCCCTTTTTTCTCATGGGACAAGGAGCATGATGAGTGACTTCTCTTCTGTTTAGGGAATAATTGAATGGACTGAACCCTAAAAAATTAAATCTGGCTTGCTTTAGTCTCTGTTCATGTTTTCAAAAATGGTTGTTTCTCCTATTTCTACCTAAGATAGGAAACGAGTCCCAGCAGCTTCACTGCAGGTTGGAATATAAAGAGCCACATCTAATGGGACTAGCAGACGGCATATGATACTTTCAAGTATTTCTCCAGGCGACTTAATATATTTTTTCTCAGGACCCACTGTGCTTTAGCTCCATCTTTGCCCTGTCGTAAGCCAGGGCTGCCCTGTGATTTATACCTGTGTTTGCTCTGAAGTTCTGTCATCATGTAACTTATCACTCATGGGTATTCATGGATGAAGAGCCTGCTCTGGACTCCTTTGTGTTCGGTTGTTTTTTATACTGGATTGATTCATGGATCTCTAGAGTCCCTGAGTGAATGGGCTGTTGGGAGCCTGAAGTTCTGTGTTTATGTGCATTTTCTGGAAGTGAAGAGCCACGGTACCATCAGAATGTAAGCTCCCTCTGGGCAGGAACTGTGTGCCTGTGCCCAGCGCACGGGTGACCAGTGTTTGTTGAAGTGAGTGAAGGTGGTACCACGGGAAGGATGCGTTAAGGATAATTAGGGAACTAAAGGCTGGTATGGTTGGTTTTACGTCTTCATCGAGAATAAAAGTCAAAGAGCAATAGCTTTGACCTTTGAGGCGTCTAACTAAGGTTTGCACCCGAAATGACACGGTTAGTCTTTCATTTTATCATCATGTGACAAGGGGGATCACCTGGTGTCAGAGAATTTACCAGACGCCTGCAAAGATCTGCAGCCGCGGCCTTGGAGATGTGTTGGAGGACAGACTGCATTTTGCCACATTTGGGGATCAAAATGGACCATTATGTCTTGCATTTTCAAAATGCATCCTGCTTTTATTTCAGAGTATATTATGATTATAAATATTTGATAAGGTCAGATATAGCTGATTTTTTCTGTGGTCTTTTCAACAGATGGGATGGTGATCAAAGTAAATCATTTCTAATAGGAAATGGATGTCTAGTTTTTTCCTACCCTTTCTTTGTCATCGTGAACATCTCTATTCGCAATGCTGTTTCTTCAGATTTTATTTCCTCCCAGTGACATAATTTTAAATTGGTCCCTGACTTTTCATTTGGCGATTAACTTTGAACCTTCTGTGTCTCTCCATACTCCTCCTCAGTGCTGATGAGGTCTGTGTTCTTGGGATAAGGATCTTGCTGACCAAAACCAGTTAGGACCACCTAAGTCACTCAGTCGTGTCCGACTGTGTGTGACCCCAGGGACTGTGGCCTCAGGCTCCTCTGTCCCTGGGATTCTCCAGACAGGAACACTGGAGTGGGTTGCCGTGCCCTCCTCCAGGGGATCTTCCCCACCCAAGGATCAAACCCTCGTATCTTTTGTCTAAGCTGCATTGGCAGGCAGGTTCTTTACCACTAGCGCCACCTGGGAGCCGTGACCACTGGGGCAGCAACTCGACTCTAGTTGCTGGAAAGTTTTCTCACCTTCAGCTAAACTCTACCGCAGAAAGTTTACGGAAGATGCCTTATTCCTACCCAGGCCAGCTCATTTCCTTCACTAGTTTTCACTTTTCTGATATCAAGTCCATCAAAAGCTGTCCCTTGTTTGAGACCACAAATGTGCTTTACCAGAGTCTGTCCCAGGGCAGGCGTATAGTTGGCATTCAGAAATACATGCTGAGTTAAATGAACAAGTGAACGTATTTGAAACATGTCACCATAAAGTTCTACTTTTAAAAAAACTGTTAAACAGTAACTCATAATCCTGTAAATTTTATGTATTCAATGTACAGAAATTAGAAAATAGAAGGCAAAAAGCATTCTTTTTAGGTTGTATTGTTTTTGATTCTGTTGGGAGTTATATAATTGACTAAATGTACCTTTACGTTTTATTTCCTTAATACTGTAGAATGTAGAAAGTAAATAAATTAATGCTTTGGAATATAAAAATAAAGCCCACTTAATATATCTGTTAGTTGATGGGAAGCTGTTGCTAAGGCAGATTGGAAATCAGCTGTAAAATCTGTTATTTTTAGCTGTTCAGCTTAGGGACCCTACATGACGTTTCTTTCATTCTGTGAAAATGCTAGGAGGGTGGAGACTCCCTGCCTCTCATATTTCTTCTTTTTTCTATAAAAATTACTGTGGTTCCTCCATGCTTCCTTTTGATAAGAGAATTTTGAAGCAAATGTACATACATTAAAAGAACAAAAATGTATTGACTCAATAGTTGTGAAGATTTTTGAAAGTAAGCTAATTGTTGTGGAACCCTTATATTATAGATGCATTGTCAAACTTTCTGCAAGTTTTTAAAAAGTAAAGAAGGACTTAGAGAAAGAACAGTTAAATATTTCTATAGTACAGACCTGAATAAGTGTTGATATCAGGGGAGAAAATGTGAATAAAACATTGTCTCATGATAGTCTTGATCATGTTATAGGTATAAGCATTTTGAAATGCTTCTGTTTATAGCTTCTTTTCAGGAAATTTTTGTTTTCTGTGTCTGGTTGAACATTAGAAGAAACAGTTGGGGAGGGTTTTTTTTTGTTTAATCAGAGTAGAGAACTTTCCAGAAAATATTACTTTCTGAGCAGCTATGTCTTAACATTTTGCTTTTGGTGGGTAGAAATAAATATGAGCCAAGAATCTAATTACAGAATTGATTTTGGGATATGAAATTTTGAAAACTTAGTGCTAATGCCAGATGGTCAGCATTTACTTTTTTTCTTAGGGGGTTAATTAAACATTTTTTGTGATCAGTAGACTACAGAATATTTTTTAAGTGTATGTTCAGTCACTCAGTCATGTCCGACTCTTTGTGACCTTATGGACTGCAGCTTGCCAGCCTTCCCTGTCCTTCACTATCTCTCAAGAGTTTGCTCAAACTTGTGTACATTGAGTCAGTGATGCCATCCAACCATCTCATCCTCTGTCATCCCCTTCTCCTCCTGCCTTCAGTCTTTCCCAGCATCAGGGTCTTCTCCAATGAGTTGGCTCTTCTCGTCAGGTGCCCACAGTGTTGGAGCTTCAACTTCAGCATCAGTCCTTCCAGTGAATATTCAGAGTTGATTTCCTTTAGGATTGACTCGTTTGATCTCCTTGCTGTCCAAGAGACTCTCAAGAGTCTTCTCCAGCACCAGAGTTCAAAGGCTTCAATTCTTTGGCACTCAGCCTTCTTTATGGTCCAACTCTCACATCCATACATGACTACTGGAAAACCATAGCTTTGACTCTACAGACCTTTGTCAGCAAAGTGATGTCTTTGCTTTTTGAAAATTTTTTCCAATATGGTGAAACACTGAAATACTTTCTAAAAAAGAAAATCAAAACCCACTTTGATATGGAATGTTTTTGTATTTGATGTACAGTTGATCCTTGAACAGTGCAGGGGTTAAAGGTGTATAATTTACAGTCAACCTCCGTATCTGTGGTTTGTCCAAATCCCTGGGGTCAGTCAGCCTCGGATCCTATAGTACAGTTAGTATGTGCTGTTGAAAAATATCACCCTGGCCGAGTAGTCCTGTGTTTTAGCCTTGGGCTTTTAAGACTGGATAAGAACTCCATTGAAAGCTGCAACATCATTTTAAAATTTGGGTTTTAAGACTGTCAATCTTCCATGTTTTGTTACTAAAGAAAACCTGTGGAAAGAAAAACCAAGTTATTTTCAAAGTGTGTACAGTGATTGGAATAATGAGATGTTTAAAGATTGAGAATGAATTTATAAATGTAGAGTAGCAATATTGTATTTTGATCTTCCTTCCTAATTACAGCAAATCTACTATTTGATCTGCTTCAGAATCACTTTATAATAATTCCACCACAGACTATCATAAACATGGACTTTGCTTTCTTGAAACTCCAAGAATACCATATTATGAGATTCTTTGAATTTACACCCGTGCCCACTTTCATATTTCATAGCCTTGAGAAGGCGCTCAGAAACTTTTTTTACCTCCTGGCCAAATACTCCTCGTCCTTCTTAGAATTTTTTTTTTTTTTAAGTCCAGTAGTCCTATTATAGTTGACTTACTAGTTGGGTAAAAGTTGCACTTTTTTCCTAGGTAATTGAAGATCTGATCATTTGCATATTGAGCTGAACAAATCATGTAGGTTCTTATGCTATTTAAGAATACTCATAAGGGCATTTTTCTAATTCACATACCAACATCAGCAGCACACAGGCTCAGGTTGCTGATTGAATCTGCTTGACTGTGCAGCTCTCTGGTTCATGGAAGTGAACATGCAGATTTTAATTCCTCTCTTCAAGTGCGTTCAGTACTTCCTTTTCCGAAGACCTACCTTAACCACAGTATAATTAGTTATTTAGACAAGTCAGATTTAGATTACTTTCAGTATTCTTTAGTTGGCCTTTCAGTGTTTGAAACTATTAAACATCTGTTGAATACGGTTGACCCTTGATCAACATGGGTTTGAACTGCACGGGTCCACTTATACATGGATATTTTTCAATAGTAAATACTACAGTACTGTTAGATCCATGGTTGGCTGAATCTGCAAATATGGAGGGCCAACTATAAATTACACTTGGGTTAATTATACTTGGGTTGATCCCCCATGTCGTTCAAGGATCAACTGCACTGAGAAATCTCACCAAACTAAATGGAGGGGAAGACAAAGCAATTTGATAAAACTATTTTCATAGAGTTGTGAACTGACAATTTAGAAGCCCCATTTGTATACCTGGGCCTTCCCTGGTGGCTTAGACGGTAAAGAATGCCTGCAATGTGGGAGACCCGGGTTTGATCCCTGGGTCAGGAAGATCCCCTGGAGAAGGGATTGGCTACCTACTCCAGTATTCTGGCCTGGATAATTCCATGGACAGAGGAGCCTGGTGGGCTACAGTCCATGGGGTTGCAAAGAGTTAGACATGACTGAGCAACTAACACTTTTCACTTTGTATACGTGTACTATATAAAAAAGTTCTTAAAAGTTTATACCCCAGGTAATCTATACAATTAATAAACTGAATAAACTCACTTTTTCATTATACTACAAAGATCTTTAATTCCAAATTAGCAGATACAGAAGTGGCAAGGTGTTTTTTGTTTTTTGGTTTTTTTTGCACTTTTATTTTGTATGGGGTTATAGCAGAAGTGGGTGGCATAGGATGAGATGGTTAGATAGCATCACCGACTCAGTGGATGTGAATTTGAGCAAACTCCAGGAGATATGAAGAACAGAATAGCTAGCGTGCTGTAGTCCATGGGGTTGCAGAGAGTTGGACACAACTTAGTGACTGAACAGCAACAACAAACAGCCGATTAACAAGCAATGTTGTGATAGTTTCAGGGGAACAGTGAAGGGACTCAGCCATCATACATATACATGTATCCATTCTCCCCCAAACTCCCCTCCCATCCAGGCTGAGAAGTGGTATGGTTTTGTAGTGTCAGAATTTAATTTCACCTTTGAATTTGAAATTATATAATTAAAATTTAAATACCTAAAGATCCGTATCTGATACATGACATGGTTTGAAGAACTCTTTATGCTGTGACTGGGTCCTTCTTCCTCAGTTATATGTAGATAAACTAGTTACATATTTTTGATAAATTAAAATGTGACTTTCATCTTTCTATAGACTATAATTTAGTCCCTAGAGCTGTTTATTAACCATTGAGTTATAATACCAGGAGTAGTGGTTTTTCCTGAATAACAATGTGAGAGAGAATGTTTTATGTTGTAGGGCATTCAGCTGTCCATTTAGCTCATCAGGAATCTCTTACTTCAAACCAAAACGAAACAGAGCCATGGACCCAGAGACTGTGCTAACAATCTAAATGCACTTTCAGTTATCTGGGAATAGAACTCTGGCAGCAGCTGGCTGAGAGACTTCAGATGTGGTTTCTCTCTTCCTGGTTATATGACTGGAGGGGGTGCTTCTTTCAGCAAGGGACAGAGAGACTCCTAGAACAAGGAAGCATTTGTTTGCAGGGGTTTGAAAGGGGCATTTCTGTGTGCGAAGTGGCCCTTCCCCCGCTGCCTGATATTCTCATTTGGTGGGAGCTGGGATGCATGAAGCCAAGACCCTACAGTTTAACTATTGTCAGGATCCTGGTCTGGTAGAACTCTGAATATTGACCTTTAGTATTGCCGGCCAGGTTACAGAAACCGAGCTGTTAGACTTCACCTTTGTGTACATTCCAGGTTACCTAGCTGATTTAATAAATGTTTGTTCCAACATTTGAAGGAACAAAGGTCACAGTAGCATTTTGCTGGGATGAAAGCATGTCTTAGCACAGGCAAAAATAGATTCTTAAACTGTTGGTTTGCCACTTGTGTCTGAGACTTCGCCTGTGAATGTTGGTAGCTGGTGACTATTCTCCTCTGATTGACTATCTGAGAGATTAATGTGGTGGAAATTATACTGGATTACTCCTCGTGGTTTAAAAATGAAGACATTTTTATATAGGAGAGCATGAAAGTGATTTTAAGGTCTTTGGAATGTTTATTTAAAATTTTTAAAAATTGTTTTCTAGAATTTTTATTTTTAATGTGTCACTTTAGGTTGACCATTTCTCTTCATCACTTTTCTGTTTCTTAAAGTCTTTTCTTCCCTTGAATCAAATGACCCACATCTTAATGCTTTTTTCTGATGCCTGAATGTAGTAAAACATATGATATGGACTTAAGTTGCTTTCAGCTTTTTAAAACCATGTCTTTGAGTGATTGGATTATGTGATAATTGTGAAGAAACTGGACCCCCCCCCCCCCCCAATCCCACAGCTCTGTGTGAGTGTTTTGAAGAGTCAGACCTGAGTAAGGGAACCATTGCTTTTACTGTGTGATGAAAAAATAGTTTGTATTTTTTCTGCCTTGTACCTGTGGTCACGTGTTTGCCTAGTTTGAGGTTTCTGGCCTTAGATCTCTTCTAGGGGAGGGTGAGAGCTTTGGGGTGAGGGATCTGGATAGAAGTAATTCAATCAAAGTTAATTTAAAAAAGGCCTTTTCTTGTTTTTATTTTTGTTGTGTGTGTCCAGGATTTAGAAGAATTCTGCTTTAAGTTTTGCATCAATCATTTGACAGAAGTCACACAGACTGCAGCATTTTGGCAAATGGATGGCCCTCTGCTAAAGGAATTCATTGCTAAAGCCAGTAAATGTGGAGCCTTTAAGAACTGAAGCCCAAGACTGCTGGGTTTTGTGTGAGTGCTCTGGGGCTGGTGAAGGCGTGTCGTTTGTGCTCTATGGGGGATGTAATTCTGCAGGTAAAAAAAAAAAACCCATCACATATCTTGCTCACATGGGGATACAGTTCTCTGTGTAGGGATATGTGAAGAGTGCATGGCTCTTCCTGAACCCATTTTAAACTATTTCCAGATGTGTATATTTTAAATGTGACCGTAACATTTGACTGGGACATTGTAAAGGGGTGAAAGTTTTGCTGGTTGGTTGTTGTTTTGTTTTTGTTTGTTTTTGATTAGAGGAACTTCTAAAGTTGGAAAGCGGACATTTGTGGCAACTCTCCTGACTCATGTATTAGCAGCCCTTTTGATCCCAGGAGTTGGGATAGTGCACGATTGTGAGAGGCATAGAGGGCCCCCCACATCCCCCCAGAATGAAAGGTGCTGACTTGGGACTTGGCTGAAGAGCTGCATTAGTTGCTAGGTCTGTAGCTTCACTTTGAAGGGATAGTTAAGATTGTTTGAGGTTTTGTTTGTGTTTTTGCATCATTGATGACTTTTTTTAACTTCAAAATGATATTCAATTTAATATAAACCTATTGAAATGATAATTATGCAAAGATGAATTTCTCGGTTAATCAGGGTTTCTCTTAAGACTTAAGTACATTAAAGAGTAGTAATGTAGAACTATCTATGAAAAATTAATAATGGAAGAAACTTCACTTGGGTGAAGGTGAATTTTTTATAAATCAGAGTCTCCACTTCTATCTAACAGTGTTTTATTAAGGTTAAATTTGAGAACCCAAATTTCAATGCTCCCACCTTTTCCCCTATAAATGCTAATCATGTAAGAGGATAATAGTGATATGTTCAGCATTCTCTTGCTTCCTGAATCATGGTTGCTGAATCATCAGATTTGCTATGTCTGACTCAAATAAGTAGTTCTTAAACCCAAGTTTCTTACAGGACTTAACAGAGTTTGTTTTTATTGGTTTTTATCTGTGCCAAATACCATCATACATTTTGCTTATTTGAAATTTCACCAGCTTTCACATTTGACTTTCCTTTTGGTTGTGTTAGGTATAATATTTAGCACAACTTAACTTTGAAGAAGGATCTAAATTATAGGGTGAGTGGTCTGGTTATGGAATGGGGCTTTGGGAGTAAGAGTGTTCAATGTGTGTCTTTTAAGCTTGCTTCATGTGTGTTTATTGAGCTTGCTTTGAGAACAAGTCTTTGTTCTTCTCTCTGGCCAGCAGACTCATTTCTCTCTGTGGAAGCTCCCTTGGTGAACTGTTTCCTGTTTGGAAGTTCTCCCCTCTAAATTGAGACTAGATACATTTTCAGACTCAAAGGAACAAGATGGTGGAGAGATGCTGCAGCTACTGTTTTTAGCAAAGTTTCTTTGTGTGTGTTGGCCGGGAAGGGCCCAAAGATGGAAATTCATTGATGGGGGCAATGAACACAAGCCCAGAAATCCCAGCCCCCTTTTCTTGACCGTGTTGCAAGCAGTTGGAGCCCAGTGAGTTACTACATTAGGATTGTTACTGCAGTATGATAGAATTTTCTTACTAGGTTGAGAAATGTACATTAATTTATTAGCTATGATGGGTAGTATTTGTAACAATCACTGTCATAGGCTTATGATCCGGGCAAAACAAGAACTTCAGTGTGTTTACTATTGCTGTTACTTGAAAAAAAAAACACTTTAACAAAAGCACAAATTGATGTAGTATATCCATTTCCGTAGATAGTTCATTCATTCAACAAATATTTGCTGAGTTCCTAATAGGTGAAGAACTTCCACTTCTCAGATTACTGAGTTATTTGTATGGGTATGTATTCAGTGAAGAGAACAGGAAAAAGTCCTTCAGAAAGTACTTGTGTGTATGTGTTTTTTTTTAAATATGCTCTCTTATTTTTCTACCTGGTTTTGTTAATCGCAGCAGGAGATGAAAACTATTCTGAGTTGTTTTCTTCATCTGACATAATTATAAAAGCCGAAGTATTCGTATTTCTTAAAATAGCCCTAAAATGTACTCTTGAACTTCTTACTGGAACAACATTTGATACTCTAGTTATACAAGTTGTATTTATGCAGTGTTTAGAGTGACATGTTAATAAATAAAGCAATCTGTTAAAATGGGCATCTAGAGTTATCTTTTCCCTCTCAAAAATCAATAACATGCAGCCTTAAAAAGGAAAGAAATCCTGACACATGTTGCCACTTGGATGAACTTTGAGGGTGTTAGGCTCAGTGAAATAAGCCAGTCACAAAATGACAAGCCCTGTATGATCCCACTTACATGAGATCCCTCGAGCAGTCAGGGTAGATGGTTGTTGCCAGGGGCTGGGGGAAAGGGTCCGAGGGGTTATCATGTAATAGGTTCAGAGTTTCAGTTTTGTAAGATAAAAAATGTCCTGTGCACAGATGGTACACAGCAATGTGAATGGACTTAATGCTACTGAACTTAACCATGGTTAATATGGTAATGTGTATTTTGCAATGAAAAAAAAAAGCAGTAGTCTGATTCTTGGATATTAGGCTAAAAGGTACCACCATGAACATTTCCCTGGTGGCTCAAAGGGTAAAGTGTCTGCCTGCAGTGTAGGAGACCCAGGTTCTATCTCTGGGTCAGGAAGATCCCTTGGAGAAGGAAATGGCAACCCACTCCAGTATTCTTGTCTGGAAAATCCCATGGACAGAGGAACCTGGTTGGGCTACAGTCCATGGGGTCGCAAAGAGTCGGACACAACTGAGCGACTTTCACATTCACTTCACTGTGAGCATGCTGTTTCTCAGCTATCCCCCAACCCCAGAAAATAGACTCTAGTTTTATCCCTGCTGAAAGACACTACAGTTGAGCCATCACAGCAGAAGAATATTAATGTATCTGGATCCTTTGGGGGACTAATAAATGAGGGGTGAGACATATCCCTGTCCTCAAGGAATGTAAAAATTGTTAGGAGAGGGGAGCGAGGTTTAGGAGTCAACACCGTAACAACATTTGTAAACAGCTTTTCGTAAGTCACTGAGAAGAAACCCAGTCGGGTTAGTATGAGAAGTAGCCGTTCCGAAGGCCCTGTTTCTGCGGGGGGAGAGGGGGGAGATGGGGACGGACACATACAGTGTCCTCTTAGCTCATTTCCAAAACAGGTGAGTGGCCCAAGCAACAGCTCAGAGGTGGGGGCTAACACGCCTTCTATAGCTTTACTGTAAGCAAGCTTGTTTGGTCAGAGTGGAGAAAATAACCCAGGGCTCCTCAGGCAGCAGTGTTGGCAAGGGGAGGGCGTGTGGACACGTGTGGTGTTTGTGTGTGTGTGATGTGGATGAAAACAGTTATCTCCCACGATGCCAGGCACTGTGCCCTGTGCTTCACAAATATTTTGTTTCTGTTTTCTGGCTGTTCTGAGTCTCCGTTGCTATTCGTGGGCTTTCTCTAGCTGCGGCGAGTGGGAGCTGTTATTCTTGGTTGCAGTTGCGCGGACTTCTCATCGAGGTGGCGTCTCTTGTTACAGAGCATGGGCTCCAGGCGTGCGGGCTCAGTAGTTGCAACACACTGGCTTAATCTGGTTTGTGGAAACTTCCCTGGCCAGGGATCGAACCTGGGTCCCCTGAGCTGGCAGGCAGGCAGATTCTTATCCACTGTACTACCAGAGAAGGCCCCTAGGTTTTCTTTTTTAATGCCCACATTTTTGTACCATAAAGTAGGCAGAATTAGGCTCAGATTAAATAATTTTTTCAGCAGTAAGTGACTCTGCGAAAGTGCAAACCCAGGTTCTGTTTTCACTTGTCCAACATTTGCCACCTGATGGCTGCCTAATTCTTGTGGCTCTGTTGTGCTGAGTTACCACTGTGAATGACAAGTGAAATCTGAAAGGAAGGTGGAGGCCAGAGGATTTTTTAGAAATAAACATCATGACTTGAGAGCTGTTAACTCGGATAAGCTTTGCTATAGGATGTAGCATCAGGAAGGCAAGCTGAAGTTACAGCATCATCTAGACCAGGGGAACTCTTTCTTCAGCAGGTCTAAGATGGAGTCCTGGCTTTTTTATTGAGGTACAGTTGGTTTATAATATTAGTTTTAGGTATACAACATATTGATTGAACATTCTTATAGCTTATACTCCATTTATAGTTATTATAAAATCTTGGCTATATTGTGGTACACTGTATTCTAATAGCTTATTCATTATAAATGTAATAGTTTGTAGCTCGTAATCCCCTAACCCTGTGTTGCCTCCAGCCCCTTCCCTTGCCCCACTGGTCACCTCTAGTTTGTCCTCTGTACTTGTGAGTCTGTTTCTTTTCTGTTATATTCACTAGTTTGTTTTAATTTTTAGGTTCCACATGTAAGTGAAAATATACAGTGTCTTTTTCTCTTATTTCACATAGCATGATACCCTCCAAGTCCATCCATGCCATTGCAAACGTCAGAATTTCATTCTTTTTGACGGCTGACTAGTTCACACACACACACACCCCCCGCCCCCGCCACACCCACATCTTCTTTATCTATTCATCTTTTGACGGACACTTAGGTTTTTTTCCATATCATGGCTATTATAAATAATGCTGCTATGAATATCGGGGGATCAAACCCAGGCCATGGCAGTGAAAGCGCCAAATCCTAACCACTGGATCACCAGGGAACACCCCTATTTATGGTCTTTTTGAGGATAGCCATCCCCACAGGTGTGAGGTGATACCTCATGATACTTTTGCATTTCCCTGAGGATTTAGCAGTGTTGAGCATCTTTCCGTGTGCCTGTTGGCCTGTCTCTATGTCCTTTGTAAGGAAGTATCCCTTTTGGTCTTCTGTTTTTTAATCAAGTTGGGTTGGTTTTTTTTTGATGTTGAATTATATGAGCCATTTATGTATTTTGGATATTAACCCTTTATCACTCATATCATTTGCAAATATTTTCTTCCATTCAGTAGGTTGTCTTTTTGTTCTGTAGATGGTTAATGTGTCATTTAAGATCAGTGTTTCCTTACAGATTTTCTGTCTGGATAATCTGTCCATTGATGTAATTGGGCTGTTAAAGTTCTCCACTATTATTGCGTTGCTGTCAATTTTTCCTTTTATGTCTGTTAATATTTGCTTTATAAATGTAGGTGGTCCCATGTTGGATATCTATATATATATTTCAATTGTTATATCTTCTTTGATGCCTTGATTGTTATGTAATGTCCTTCTTTACCTCTTTAACAATCTTTGTTTTAAAATCTATTTTGTCTGGTACGGTATTGTTTTCTTTTGATTTCCACTTGCATGGAATGCCTCTCCTTCTTTTAACTTTGTCTGCATGTGTCTTTAGATCTGAAGTGACTCTCTTGTAGGAAGCATGTTTTTGTATCCATTCAGCCAGTCTCTGTCTTTTGATGAGAGCATTTAATCCATTTACATTTGTAATTATTGATATGTCTGCAGTTATTGCCATTCATTAATTGTTTTGTAGTTCTGTTTGTAAACTGTTTTTGTATTTCTGTTTTTTTTTCCTTCTTTTGTTCTTTTTCCCTTGTGATTTGATGACTATTTTTAGTATATGTTTGCATTCCTTTCTCTGTTACAGTTGTTTTGGTTTTTGGTTACCATGAGGTTTTTGTATAGCAGTCCATATGTGATTATTTTAAATTGTTGATCTCTTAATTTCAGATGCATTTTAATAGCACTACAATCATACGCTCCTTCCCTCATGATGACTGTTTGTGACATATATTTTAAATCTGTTTGTCTTGTCTATACCTTCTTTTTGTAGGCATAAATGATTTTACTCTTACTTCTGTCTTTTCTGGAGAAGGGAATGGCAACCCACTCCAGTATTCTTGCCTGGAGAATCCCACGGACAGAGGAGCCTGGCGGGCTACAGTCCATGCGATCACAGAGAGTCAGACAGGACTGAGCAACTAAGCACTTAATGGTTTCACTTTTTGTCTTTTATCCTTCCTACTAACTTTGTTCATGAGTGATTTACTGTCTTTGCTCTATGTTTGCCTTTACCAGCGAGTTTTTTTCCTTTTATAATTTTCATGTTTCTAGTTGTGTGGCCTTTTCTTTTCCAGTGAAAAGTTTCTTCTAACATTTGTCATAAAGTTGGTTTGGTGGCACTGAACATTTTTAGGTTTTGCTAGTCTGTGAAACTTTTGATTTTTATCAGATCTGAACGAGAGCCATGTCAGGTGGAGTAGTCTTGGTTGTAGCTTTTTCCCTCTCATCACTTTAAATACTGTCATGCTCCTCCCTTCTGGTCTGCGGAGTTTCTGCTGAAAAGTCAGCTGATATCCTTGTGGGAGTTTCCTTCGAAGTAACTTGTTGCTTTTTGATATTCTCTCTTTGTTTTTGCCATTGTAATTACAATATTTCTTGGTGTGGTCCTCTTTGGGTTGATCCTATTTGGGACTCTGCTTCCTGGACTTGGGTGACTTTCCCAGGTTAGGCAAGTCTTTAGCTTCTGTGTCTTCAGATGTATCCTCAGGCCCTCTCTCTCCTCCTTCTAAATTCTCTATAATATGAATGTTAGTGTGATTGTTACTGTCTCAGTGATCTCTTCAACCGCCCTCTTTCTCTTCTTCTTTTCCGTTCAGCGTCAGTGATCCCCACCACTCCGTCTTCCAGCTCATGGACCTGTCCATCTGTATCATTTTAGTCTGCCATTGATTCCTTCTAGTGTGTTTTTCATTTCAGTTATTGTATTCTTCACCTGTTTGGTGTTTCTTTATGTTTTCTAACTCTTTTTAAAGAAATTCTAATTTCTCACTCTTTTCATTCATTCTTATTCTCAGTTGTTTAGTCATCTTTATGACTTCCCTGCTGGCTCAGACGGTAAAGCGTCTGCCTCCAATGCGGGAGGCCCGGATTCGATCCCTGGGTCGGGAAGATCCTCTGGAGAAGGAAACGGCAACCCACTCCAGTACTCTCGCCTGGAAAAATCCCATGGACGGAGGAGCATGGTAGGCTAGTCTATGGGGTTGCAAAGAGTCGGACATGACTGAGCAACTTCAAGTGTAAGTCATCTTTATGATCATGACTTGGAACTCTGCCTTTGCTTAGCTCTAGGATTGTATCTTTCATCTGGGATGAAGTGTTTCTCTGTCACCTCATTTTATTTAACTTACTGTGTTTATTTCTGTGTATTGGGGAGGTTGGTAATGTTTCCTGACTTTGGAGAAGTGGCCTTTGGTAGCAGGTGTCTTCTGGTCCCAGCAGTGCACCCCTCCGTCTTCACCGGAGCTGCATGCTCTAGGGGTGCCCGTCTGTGTGGGCCTTTCTGCTATGGCAGGCTGACCGCTGTGGGCAGTTTGGAAGGTGTGGCTGGCCTCTTGGTCTGCTGGGTTGCCAGGCCCTGCCTTGTGCAGAGGCAGCTGACCACTGGTTGGCAGGTGGATCACGAGGCTGTGAAACCCTTCGAGGCTTGCCCAGGGGCTGGTGCTGGCTCATTGGAACCAGGAATTGGGTCCAGGAGATTCTGGAGCTGGTTCCTGCCCCCTGGTGGCTGAAGCCAGGTCCTGGGGTCTCGCTTCAGGGCCCTGGGGTCCCAGAACTGGTGTCATACCCCTGGTGGGTATGGTCAATTCCTGATACAGCTGGCTACAGGGTCTGGGGTATTTTTTTTTTTTTTAAGCTGTGCTGGATCTTAGTTGCGGCATGAAGGATCTCAGTTGCGGCATGCGAACTCTTAATTGCACCATGCAGACTCTACTTTGACCAGGGATTGAACCCAGGCCCCCTGTATTGGGAGTGTGGAGTCTTAGCCACTGGACCACCTTGGAAGTCCTGGGTCAGGGGTGTCTTGAAATTGGGTTTATCTCCTGGTGGGTGGGGCTTGGGCCCAGCTGGTTCCGGGACTGGTACTGGCCTGCTGGGGGGCGGGCTGTGGTTGTCCTGAGGCGGGTGAGGCTGGTCCCCAGGCTGGAGCAGGCTCACTGGTGAGTGGACTGGGGCTCCGGAGAGTCTGGGGCTGATGTCTGCCCACTGGTGGACAGAGCCGGGTCCCAGGACAGTCAGGTCTACTGTCACTGCACTGGGGCCTGGCCCTCTGGTGGGCAGGGCTGTGTCCAGGGGTGGCTCTGGGCTCGGGGGTCTTAAGGCGGCAGGTCTGCTGGTGTGTGGGGCTCTGTCCCCACCCCAGTTGTTCTGCCTGAGGTATCCCAGTTGCTGCTGCTGTTTTGTCACTAAGTTGTGTCCAACTCTTGCAATTCCATGGACTTGTAGCCTGCCAGGCTCTTCTGTCCATGGAATTCTCCAGGCAAGAATACTGGTGTGGGTTGCCATGCCCTCCTCCAGGGGATCCTCTCAACCCAGGGATTGAACCCACATCTCCTGCATTGGCAGGTGGATTCTTCACCACTACGACACCTGGGAAGCCCAAGGTCTCCCAATACTGATACCTAGAGGCTGATGAGCAGGGGCACAGTTCATCCTGAGGCTAAAGCTAGAGGGAGGGTTCCAGAATGGTGTTTGCCACTGGTCTACCACCAGTGTCCACGTGGTAGAGTGAGCTCCCAGAAACGGGCGGTCTCTATGTTCTCAGGTGAGCTCCAGTTGCCTCCCAGCTCTCGGGGAGACGCTCCACGATCAACAGGTAGGTCTGTCCCAGGCTCTTTTCAAATTAATGCTTGCGCCCTGGAGCATGAGTTTCTGTGTGCACCCTTTAAGAGTGAAGTCTCTATTTCCTCCTGCCCTCTGGGACTCCCAAAGGTAAGCCCCACTGACCTTCAAAGCCAAATGTTCTGGAGGCTCGTCTTCCTGGCACAAGACCCTTCAGTTTGGGGACGCTGATGTGAGGCTCAGACCCATTGTTCCTTGGGGAGAACCTCTCTGCAGTTTTAATTCTATCTGTGGGTCACTCACCCCCAAGTATGGGTCTTGACTGTATTGTGTTTTTGCACCACCACATGTCTGGTTATGCTTCTTTCTTTTTTATCTTTAGTTGTAGAAAAGACTGTGAGGTCCTTTGGTCACTTTGATCCACAGTAGGGTTGTGTGTGTGTGTGTGTTCCCTCTGTTGGTCTCTTCGATCCACAGTAGGGGTGTGTGTGTGTGTGTTCCCTCCGTTGGTCTCTCTGATCCACAGTAGGGTTGTGAGTGTGTGTTCATGTGTTCAGTCTCTCTGATCCACAGTGGGGGTGTGTGTGTGTGTGTGTGTTCCCTCCGTCAGTCTCTTTGATCCACAGTAGGGTTGTGAGTGTGTGTTCATGTGTTTAGTCTCTTTGATCCACAGTAGGGGTGTGTGTGTGTGTGTGTTCCCTCCGTTGGTCTCTCTGATCCATAGTAGGGTTGTGAGTGTGTGTTCATGTGTTCAGTCTCTCTGATCCACAGTGGGTGTGTGTGTGTGTTCCCTCCGTCAGTCTCTTTGATCCACAGTAGGGTTGTGAGTGTGTGTTCATGTGTTTAGTCTCTTTGATCCACAGTAGGGGTGTGTGTGTGTGTGTGTTCCCTCTGTTGGTCTCTCTGATCCACAGTGGGGGTGTGTGTGTGTGTGTGTGTTCCCTCCGTCAGTCTCTTTGATCCACAGTAGGGCTATGTGTGTGTGTTCATGTGTTCAGTCTCTTTGATCCATAATACTTCTGTGTGTGTTGTGTGCGTGTGTACACGTGCTCAGTCATGTCCCACTCTTTGTGACCCCATGGGACTGTACCTCTAGGATCCTCTGTCCATGGAATTTCCCAGGCAAGAATAGTGGAGTAGATTGCCATTTCCTTCTCCAGGGGTTCTTCCCAATCCAGGGATTGAACCCACATCTCTTGTTTCTCCAGCAGTGGCAGGCAGATTCTTTACCACTGTACCACCTGAGAAGCAAGTTGTAATTTTGGTATGCCTGTGAGATGAGGTGATTTTTTGGCTTCTGTAGTTTGTCCTCAGATGATTCTGATGTGTAGCCAAATTTGAAAACCAGAGATTTTGCCCCCAGTTATTAGTGACTTGGGTCGGGGTTGCCATCACAGCAGGGATGGACATGGTTCTTCATTTACACCATATTCTTCAACAGATATTTTTTGAGTGTATCATGTGCCAGATACTGTGTTAGGGACTCAGATCAAACTCATGCTGAAATGTAGCACTACTGTGGATCAGATAGTGTGGTAAAAAGGTAGAAACATGAAAGTGAAGTTTTCAGAGGTCAGACATGAATAGGACCTAACATCTGAACTGTATATTGTTAGGTTGAGAAAAACCTCCAAAGAGGCCAGTTTTAAATGTTTATTTTGATGATACTGTACCCATGTGGTGACTGTGGATGAATAGAAATTTCAAAAGCAGGTTTGGTAATGTATAATATTAAAATTTATTATATCAAAGAGGCATTATGGGCTGGAACTAGTCTCAAAAGATAAAAACAGTTTATGCATTTAACGTTTACTGAGCATGCTAGCTGCTAGAAACGTGACAAGGAGAAAAACTTATGAATGGGAGTTTCTGCCCATAGGCTGCTTATACTCCAGTGGTTTGATGTGCAACACAGTGGCTTACACCGAGAAGAGACGTGAGGAGAAAGGACGATCTCGGTGAAGACCACACAGCAGAACGTGCAAAGGCCCTGGGGCAGGAGCACCTGGCATCCACTTAGCTCACTGGAGTTGGGGAGGGGAAGAGGCCACGAAAGGATTTTTAAGAGCCATGGGAAGCATGGTCTAATTTACTCAAGTAGACTCTGAGGAATACGTTACTAGTGGGAGAGAGGTAGAAGTGAGATGACCGTAAGGAGGGGAGGCAGTAACCAGGCATCAGATGCCCATCAGCAAGAACAGGTAAGAGCGGGCAAGGAGCAGAGACACCCCAGGGACCTGGTGCTGAAGGTGTGTGGCTTTCACAGGCCAGTCTCCAGCTTTCACCCTACTTGCAACTGTGCTCGATTCCTGGCTTAGGAAATGGTCCTTCTTAAGAAGACAGAGAAGAATCTGAAGTGGAACTTGACTGAAGCCCAGAGCACAAGGTTTGTTTTAAGTCCTGAAGTAGCTCAATCTCTTCCTTCAGCTGCCGTCGCCTGTCTTCAGATTCATGAATTTGATTCTCTACTGCTGTTAGAAGGAAGTTATTTCAGGTTATTCAGTAATTCTATACATAATGTACTATTTCTAGCTTCTTTAGAAAGTGCTTAGTACACAGCACTGTGCCCCAAATGAAAAGGATCCAGGGTCTTGTGAGCTTTCATGCCTTTGCTTCCTCTTGTAGTTCAGGATCGAATTCTAGTATGTATCACACTTAAGGTGGATCCATAAATCTTTAAAATTTTGTATACAATTAGAAAAGGTAGCTTCTGTATATCTTTGAGGACTTGAAAGCAGCGACTGTATAACCTTCATGCTGCACACTATCCATTTATTGGGAGAGGCTGTGGTTAGACTACCAAGGGTAAGGCAAATCTTTCAGACAAACGCATCCTAGTTTTAATGTTACATAAAAGCTTCTGGCTTTATTTAGAAATAGGAGTGCTTTTATTGTGTCAACTTAGAAGCTACTTTAGTTAGGCTTTATGAATTTATAATATTACTCAACAGCAATGTCATTTTCTAAAAACCTGAAAATGGAAGAATATTAAAATATATACATACATAATCTTTTCTTAGAGTATCTGTATATCTATAGTTAACTTTCTGGAACATTGGAAAGGCTGAATTAAGCACGAGAGTTATCACTTGGGAGTATCAGAAGTTAAATCTTCTAAGTTGGTTCTCATGCAATTCCAAATAGCATCTCCTCCTAACAGTGTCTCCTCCTGGTGCTCACACCCCACAAACAATACACTGTAATGTATTCCCAACTGACTCACCTAGGTACTGACATGTTCCAAACATGTCACTTTTATATGAAAGAAAAATACACACATATGAAAGTCAAAATACAGAATAAAGTGGGTGCTTTAAAAAAAAAAAAAAGGTACTCCCATTAGAAGTATGCAGACACACTCAAGAGACTGGTAAAAAAAAAAAAAAAAAACTATTGTTGGTAAATTAAAAACAACATTTTCCTGCCGATTATAAATGTAACACAAAATTCAAACAGAAATGTGTATTATGAAAACAAAAATGAGAAAGGCTTGTGCATACTGAGAGAAGAATCTGAACTAATATTTTCTTTACAGGGAAAGTGTTTTCTTAATACATTTGCCAGAAAGACAAATACATCTCCGGAAAAGAACAGAGTGTAGGCCACGGTTTGTTTTCAACTTCAGGGGGAGCCCTTTGCCCCAAACCCTGTGGCCTCCGCTCCTGCCTGGGATGTGCAGGGCACAGCCTGGCCAGCTGTGTGTGGCAGCCTTGGTGGAGAAGTCAGTAAGACCCATCAGTGTGGAAACTTAGCCTCTATCAAAGGCATCTGAAACAGTGGTGAAAGGACCACTGCTCAATGTTTTATAGAAAAATTATGTCTCTGTTTCCAGCAGGTTTTCTTTTTCAAAAATTTCCTGGCAGTTCTTTTTTGATGATGAACTTTAGAATCAATGACAACTTTCCTTCTCCCCCATTAGAGCTAAAGATTAATGTCGGCAGAATTGAAATTTATGCACATCACACCAAGTGAGAGGGAGACAGTGGCATCGTGATTTATCACAGCCTCACCCATTCCTGCTGATGTTCAAACATGGTGCCCAAATACTTCAATTTTGCAGTCCATTTTTTTGTTGTTTCCACTTTTTTAAATGAGTTGTTTTCTGATTAGAAAAGTATTTCGTGTCTGTATTAAATGTGGAAAATACAATGAGCACTAAGACAAAAGAAGTTACTGTAATCCAGCCACTTACAGATAACTGCTGTTTCCATCATGTGCAGTTTTTCTGTGTGCACGTGTGTCTCTATGTATATATGTTTTCGTTCTTCTGGTGTGAGGGCTCATGTTTGTAATCGGCTTTTTAACTGAATGAAACTGAATTGAACATTCTTCTAAAATAGGACTTTCACCACCTGACTAGAGTTTATCATTTCAATATGGAAGTATTTATGAACTTTGCTGCTCAGTTATAACTCACATACCTGCTTGAAAGTTTACAAGCGTGTCTTCAAACAGTCTACAGTCAAAAAGTGAAGTCCCGATTTCTTCATAGTCTGGAGGGAGAAAAACATTTTCAGTTTTATATAGGCAGAAACACCTCACAAAGTTAACCCCTAATAAGGAGCAGCACACAGCGGGCACCCCCTGTAGCCTGCAGTAGCAGCAGCCTCCCCAGGGAACTTGCTGGAAATGCAAATTCCTAGCACCCTTCCTGGATCAAAAAGGTCCCCGGCCCCTCCCGGGAAGGGGCTGCTGTGTTAACAAGCCCCCCAGGTGGTCCTGAGGGGCATGCTCAGGTTCACATGTGCTTGATCCAGAGACAAGAATAAACAAACAAAAGAATGCAATGAGTGATTTTTGGCAAATGTTTGCTTAGAACTTCACTTTTTGGTTTTGTCCTATAGGAAAAAAAATCCCTTTCAAATAATCATATATTTTACATTGTTTCATAAAATACAGACTGTCAGGCTTTTCCTTTTAAGACAGCTATGCTGCTGATCTCCTGTGCCATCAAAAATCCAGGCTAAACTTTATAGCCAGCCCCCCAAATACGCGGTTCCTCGATCTGTGGTTTTGCATCCACAGACTGGGTAGTATTTTATTGTGTAGTATTTACACAATAAAATAATAAAAAATAATAAAAAATAATAAAAAAATCCAGGTATAAGTGTGCCTGTAAAGTACAAACCTGTTATTTAAGTTTCAGCTTTATTTATAATAAAGTTTTTAAACTCCTAACACAGCTTATAAGAAGGGTACATGACTATATACCTGCATATACAGATGGAACTTAAGCTGCCAAAAGAGCGCTTTCTGAAAGCATCTTTAAACCAAAATCAACAAAAATGTTAAAATTTCTTTCCTCTATGTTTTATAGTTAAAAAAAAAGGCAACTAGCTTTTTAATGAACAGAATCTGAGTCAAATCAAAACTAACTTAATGAATGCCATTCTCAGATCTTAGTAGTAAACATGCTCAGTTGGAGGTGGGGGCAGGTGTGTGAGTGAATCTAGTTCTGAGCTCTTGCTGGTCACCCAATTATGAACCTCTGGGAAAAAAACATTAAAACTTCCAGGGCATCAGGCTATTTTTTTTTTCTTTTACTACATTAATGAGTTTGTGAATTACTTACATCCTGTTGACTTATAGAGAGAGATCTGGATCAATAAACTTTATTAAAGAATGAGATAATGTATATCATCTAGGGTGAAACAGATCACCAGCCCAGGTTGGGTGCATGAGACAAGTGCTCGGGCCTGGTGCACTGGGAAGACCCAGAGGGATCGGGTGGAGAGGGAGGTGGGAGGGGGGACCGGGATGGGGAATACATGTAAATCCATGGCTAATTCATTTCAATGTATGACAAAAACCACTGCAATGATGTAATGTAATTAGCCTCCAACTAATAAAAATGAATGAAAAAAAAAATAAAGAATGAGATAAGGAAAATAAAAAAGAAAGAGCATAGAAAGAAAATGTGTACTTTAGGGTGGTGTTTGTTTTGTTCACGATGTAGGTCTGTGAGACATCTCTACATGTAGAAATTTTATTTCAGTACCTGATTCTGCAGTGGTCTCATCCATGAGTCTTTCCTGAATCAAATGAAGTTTGTCTAATATTTCTTCAAATAAAGCATCAAGAAGCCCTGCTTCTTTACATTTCTTGAGAAAAGCAGCTTTCACAATTGCATCTAGGAATAAGAAAAGAATTTTAGAAGGACATGGTACGTCTCAGGGCAGCCATCCTACATACACTCACTTCTTCAGACTTTCCCTAATGGTGGATGAGCATTATTAGATAATACATACACAGCACTTTTGGGCTTCCCTGGTAGCTCAACTGGTAAAGAATCCGCCTGCAATGTGAGAGACCTGGGTTCGATCCCTGGGTTGGGAAAATCCCCTGGAGGAGGGCATGGCAACTCACTCCAGTATTCTTGCCTGGAGAATCCCCATGGACAGAGGAGCCTGGCGGGCTACAGTCCATGGGGTCACAAAGAGACAGACACGACTGACTGCCTAAGCACAGCGCCTTTATCTTTTCTATTAATTTCACCATACCTCTTTTTTTTTCCAAGCTGAAACAATGAAATGTTATAAAAAGGGAAAACAACTTCTCTGCTTAGAATAACAACGTAAATAGAATTTTCTAAAATTTAGCTTCAAATCTTTGAGATAATAGTCTCCCTCATTTTTTTTTCTGTCACAATTGACTGTTTATCATTATGGAACATCTATTTCCTTAACTGGACACTGGAGTGGGCAGCCTTTCCCTTCTCCAGGAGATCAAGAACTGTATCCTTTCCTAATACTGAAGAGCAGTGGACCATCCCACCCTGTTACCTTGATCTGTTGAGATTTTGATGGAGTGGATAGTCATGACAGAAGATTTCTACTCTCACAGTTCACTACTACAAGTCCAGAAGAATAAAGTGGGATACCAACTCTAAAATCCATGGTAATAAGTACTGTGAGTCATATTTGTTACTGACAAAACTTATAGCGAACCTGTGTGTCTGCTGCCCTTTTCCTTCTTCACTGCCATTCTCTGAGGTGGCTAGGAGAGAAGAAACAAGATTACCTTACACTGATTTTTTACTGTTGACATTTAATACAGTAAGTCCTCTACATATGAACAAGTTCCAGTCTGAGAGCGCGTTCCTAAGTCCAGTCTGATTGTGATTCCAACAGTTAGCCCAGGTGCCCAACTAACACAATCGGCTATGCAGTACCGTAATGGGTGTATAGTACTTTTCACAAAAATGACACATAACACACCAGAAAACACCCCTAGTGTTACAGTACAGGACCTCGGAAAGTACCGCAGTGCAGTATAACAGCCGGCTCTGAGTGAAAGGCAGGAAGAGTTAGTGACAGGAGGAGGGAGAGGAGGTGGGAGCTGGTCTAGAGCTGAAGGGTCGGCAGCAGCAGGAGATGGAGGGCAAGCTGCAGCTTCACTCACGCCTGAGGCTGCTGGCACAGGTTCTGGTTCCTTGCCGGATTCAATTCTATCTACCCTCTTGAAAAAGCGATCCAGTGTTGTCTGGATAGGAGCTCTCTTTTTCTCATCACAGGTGACGGGGCAGCACGGGACTGCGTTCTGAACGGCTGCGGCAGCCTTCGTGAGCCGTTCTATGTTCGCGTCCTGTGCTTGAAATAAAGATACTGCACTACTGTGGTCTCTGCAGGACTGTAAGGTGCACAACGAGCCGCCGCCTGTAGAGGGCGCATACAGGCGACTGTGCGCCAGGCAAGCAAACCAACCTGTGTGACTGGACGTGCCGACACACGTTCGCATCTCTGAAAGGTTGCAACTTGAAGGTTCATATGTAGGGGACTTACTATATTGCATAAAATGAAAAATTTTGTCAAATTCAGTCATATGCCTATGTTGAAAGTCATGTCTGTAGGCATAAACATCAAATGTATTTTTGTGTCTAACAAAACCTTAAGAGATGGAACAAGCCCCTCTTGTATAAAGGGTGAGAGGCGAAGGCTGCTGGCTCATATTAATTTAGCTTATATAAACTACTGCAAATTCCCAAAACATTTTCATATGCTTTACACATAATAGGAATCCAGAAAATTATGAGTCACATATTAGGGCAAATATGGATCCTGTAGATGGGAAATACTTGGCTAGGTAAGGATGTTCCACTGTACCTGAGCCTGTTTTTAGACCATAAATACCACGTGGGCTCAGATCCTCTCACTGATTTGGTACCAGGGCACGTATTACAGGAGCCACAGGATGGTCACCTCCTGGAGGTTATGTGCTTGGATACCACACATCCAATTTCTCTTTCATATTCATCTTATCATCTATCATTGTGTCACCCAAAATTCAGAATGGTTTTAAAAAAAGACTGTATGGAGAAAATTAAAGCTGTAATAAAATGAAGTCAGATTACCTGTACATGATTGCCTGTTGAGAGACATTTCCTCTTTCCTCTTTTTCTTTTCACTCCTGAAAAGTGGGCTGAAAAACACAAATTATGTAGACACTGGAATTCATAAAGGAAAAGCCTAATGCTTGACTGCATAAAGTACACAAAGTCAAACTTAGATGTGTCAGACCTAAGACTAAATGTTTCCAAAACATGACAAAAGGCCAAATTTTAAAATATAAAAAGACCGTATAAATCAATATGAAAAAGGCAGCTTAGGTAGAAAAATGGGCAAATAGGGAGCTCTGAAGAAGAGGGTTCATTAAACAGAAAAACAAATTAGGTCACAGGACAACAGATGTAACTGATCAAAAGACAGGGAAATATACTCAATTTCACCCAAAGTAAAGATATGCAGAGGAAAACAGAATTTTTCACTGGTCAGATTAAGATGAAGATGTTTAATATATAAAGTTTGCAAGGATTTGGGTCATTGTGTGTACTGCTGGTGTGGCCTCTAGGAGATAACTAGCCAACAGTTAACCCAGAGTTTCACTGTCCATACGCTTTGACTCAGCTATCTACTTAGAGGAAGTCGAATAGTACTGTTACATACAGGCACAAGGCTGAGTGTAGAACAATGTTAACTACAGTATTTAACGTGACAGAAAAAGCTGGATACAACTCCTCGGCTACACAGCTGAGGAAGATACACAGTGGAAGACTATGAAGCCTTTTTAAAAAAATGAGGTAAGATCTACTTACAGCCACTGACAGGGAAGAATCTCTAAGATACGCTAAGTGAAAAAAGCGAAGTACAGTGGTAGATTGTTTGTATGCACAGAGCACTTTTGGAAGAATTAAAAAAAAAAAAGATGGCTTCATCTGGGGAAAGGGTTCATTACAAACAGTTTTACAATTTGCTTTTTGAAACATATTATGGTCATCTTTTCCTGTCAATAAACATTGATTGACAGCAATATTTTTTATGGTAAATCTGATACATTGAAAGGCTGATAATGGCTGAAGAATGAGGGTAACTCTTTGGTTTAAAAAGCACTGTTTAACACTGCACAGTGCAGCTGGCAGGACAGGGAACTAAGCCTTTACCCGAGAGGGCTGACTCCCGTGCACAGAGAGCATTCCAGATCAAGTGTTGGCAAGACGGCCGTCCCAACAGTACACAAAGGCTACATAACTCTCGGCAGCCAGGACCCTACTGTCTTCAGAACAGAAATGCTAATCATGCATTCTTAGGAAAACTGCATTCAGGGAATATACAGCACTTTGTCAGTTTTATCTACTGAAAATTGATAACTCATTTTATAAGATGAATAGTCGCAAAAGTCACAGCTTTTTACCATGTCTTGGTTTGGTCTGCTCACTGTAGTGAGAATGGAAGACCCCAGACAAAGGCTTCACCGATGGCAGACCTAGTCACAAAGAGAAATTCGGTCCATTATGTCTGCACACCGCACAGGGGCCAACAACTTAATTTTAAAAGTATTTAACATTTTAACTCATACCTAAATGTTTACCTTTTTAAAACCCACCAACACTGAATTTTAGATACTTACCATTTTCAGGGTCAGCATGTTGTTGGCAAAACACTCTGAAAACATGGAATTTTAGAGAGTCAGATATTTTGATTTATACTTTTCAAGTATTATGCCTATTGCTTTGTAACTTAAAAGGGAACTAACCTGTTTTTCATGAGGGCTTAACCCTAAATATTTATTTTAAAAACAAAATTGCTGGGCTTCCCTGGTGACTCGGTGGTAAAGAATCTGCCTGCCAATCCAGGAGACACAGGTTCGATTCCTGATCCGAGAAGATCCCACATGGCCTTGGAACAACTAAGCCTGTGTGCGCCACAACTATTAAGCCTGTGCCGTAGAGCCTGGGGGCCGCAGTTACTGAGCCCATGTGCCCCAGCTGCTAAAGCCCGCTTGCCCTACAGCCTGTGCCCTGCAACAGGAGAAGCCAGCACGGTGAGGAGCCCCGCTCGCCACAAGTGGAGAAAAGCCCTTGCAGCAACGACGACGCAGCACGGCAAAAAGAAATAAATAAAATTATTAGCAATAAAATTGCTGGGATTTCCCTGGGTGTCGAGTGGTTAGGACTCTGTGCTCCCAATGCAGGAGGTGAGGGTTTGATCCCTGGTCAGGAAATTTAGATTCCGCATGCTACACAGCATGGCCAAGAAAAAAAACCTCAAGACAAACAAAAATTGCTGCTCAAGCCTGTGTACGGTATTGACGCACATCAAGTGCAGATGGAGCCATACCAGCGTCCCCGGTGCCCTTGAACCATGTGGACGGTCAACGTGTTCTCTGCAGGGCTGAGTGCTGATGACATATTTTAAACAATATGTTTATTACATAGGGGTCAGTGGGATTTTACTGTATAAAGATCCCTAGCAATCCAATGGCTAAGACACCAATTTTTGTCTGACTATACAAAGTTCTGCAGCTTTTCCACAATAAGCACAAAATTGGACTTCCCTGGTGGTCCAGTGTTTAAGAACCCACCTGCCATTGCAGGGGACACGGGTTTAATTCCTGGTCCAGGAAGATCCCACGTGCTGCAGGACATCTAAGCCAGCGCTTCACAACTACTGACCCTGCGCTCCCCCAGCCCACGCGCTCCAACTGCTGAGCCCAGGCGCCCAGAGCCCACGTTCTGCAACACGAGGAGTCACTGCGAGGAGAAGCCCGTGCACCGCAGTCAAGAGTGGCCCCGGCTCTCCACAAGCAGAGGAAAGCCTATGCGGCAGCAAAGACCAGGCAGAGCCAAAAAGAAACAAGAAACTGCAACCGCAAATTGCATGCATTAATCTGCGGGGCAAGCAGTTTCCTAACTCCACGGGCATTGCCCCCAGATCTTCCATTTGAGCTGCACAACCTGGAACTGATCAGCCACGGGAGAGAAGGGAGAATGGTGTAGCTGCAGCAGGGAAGTGCTCTGAGTGAAGGAGCAGCCCTGCCCCGTTTCTCTCTGCAGCCTCCGTTCCTCCTCAGCCCCCAGACCTTTGTCCTCGAGGTGCTGGCCCCTGGATGCAGGGTCCCCCGCGCTTAGAATGTATGGATTCTTCCCGTCTCATACCAGTGCCTGCCTCCTCCATACAGTTCTCTGAGCAAACCACCCCCCATTCCCAATCAATATTAATCTCCTCATCCTTCGGATTCCGGTGTCTCTGAGCACTTTTGTTTGCCAGGTATACTTAATTTTTTATGGAAATTTCAAACATAGAGAAGTGGAAGAGATGTGATGAACTCCCATGCCCCCACCCATTTTCAACAATTATCAACTGAAGGCCAAGCCAGCTTCATGTAAGTCCCCTCCTGCTCCCATCCTGCCACAGGCTGATAGTTCTGACCTTCTGGTCCTCCCATGAGGTGATGGGTTTAGTCCATGTCTTGTTCTTCTTTATATCACAACACCTAACAAGGGGTCTTGTGTGTGATGGGCACTCTGAATGTTTCGATTCAATGAAAAAAAAATTAATGAAAGTTCACCTGATACTTGATAATGTTAGTCGCTCAGTCGTGTCCGACTCTTTGCGACCCCATGAACCATAGCCCGCCAGGCTCCTCTGTCCATGGAATTCTCCAGGCAAGAATACTGGAGCAGGTAGCCATTCCATTCTCCAGGGGATCTTCCCAACCCAGGGATCGAACCTGGGTCTCCTGCACTGCAGGTGATTCTTTACCATCTGAGCCACCAGGGAAGCCCAATACTTGATAAAAAACTATGACAAAAAAGGATTATTTTATGGAGTCTCTTCAGTGGTTCTAAAATATGATCAGTATTTTTTCAGACTTTAAGCTATAGCAGAAACTTCTTTCTGTTTGACCTTGTAGCTCTGCTAATAATAGTCTTTCCCAGTGGGTGTTTCAGGTCTTTGGAGAAGTCATAATAAAACAAGCTCTTTGGGAAGGTAAGTAAAAAAAGTGAAATAGAATATTACAACCATGGGTTTCTCCGTAAATCAAATATAAAAAGAATATAAAATTAACATATTCATACATTTCCTGTCTAGTCTCAAGCAAGAAAATACCCATGGAACTTGTAAAATCAGATGTTAAATTATTTTATAAATTATTTTGAACTTCTTGGAATGTTAGTTTTGCCCACATTTTAGCATATGTGGCCCCTAAGCTTACAGAGGATGTAGTGGCAAAGAGCAAAGACTCTGGAGCCCTTTAGCCCAGCTCTGCCACTTAACAGAAGTGTGGCCTGGGTACAAATTACTGTCCCTCAGGGCCTCAGTTTCCTCATAATAGTATGGGAATAACAGTATCTACCTTACTGGGCTATTATATGAGTTTTAAATGAATTAACCTTTGCAAAGTACTTTGAAGTATTCCTGGCATAGAGTAAGTGGTTTTAATAAAGTAATAAAATAGTGTTGGAAGACTCTGATAAAATTGGGGGTGGATAGTCTACCCTCCGTATGCAATTTTAAAATATCATTTAGGAATGTAAGATCTTATAAAAATCATATTAAAAGTAACCCTCTGGGAGGGATAAATTAGGAGTTTGGGATTAGCATATATATGAAACAGATAACCAGCAAGGACCTACGGTATAGCACAGGGAACTCTGCTCAGTATTATGTAACAACCTGTAAGGGAAAAGAATCTGAGAAAGTCTGAGTTGAACCACTTTGCCATATACCTGAAACTAATACAACACTGTAAATCAACTATACTTCAGTTATAAAATAATAATCCTCTCAACACTAATCCTATTATTCAGATACTATGACTGAAAAAAATGTATATATTTCACTGAACTTTCAAATGTCCAGGACTTCCTTGGTGGTCCAGTGATAAATTCACCTGCCAATGCAGGGGGCACAGGCTCGATCCCTGGGCTGGGAAGAGTCCACATGCTGAGGGGCAGCTAAACCTGTGCACCACAACTACTGAGCCCGTGCTCTAGAGCCCGCACACCCAGGGCTCGAGCTCTGCAACAAGAGGCCACCGCAAAGAGAAGCCCTCTCAGCAACTCGAGAGTGGCGCCCCATCGTCGCAACGAGAGGAAGCCCGTGCACAGCAACGAAGACCCAGCACAGCGAAGATACGTAAATAAAATGTCCGTTCGATCAGAATCTATTCACATGCCCCAAAGAAGTGGCGAGTGTCTGCCTGGCTTGTCCACGCTAGACCATCAGTCTCTGTTTTACTCCATCTCATAACATTAAAAAGGTCAAAACTGTTAAGACCATTATATAACTTTCTTCACCTTTATATAACATATTCTAGACTGCATCTATGTATGAAAGAGTTCACTTAAAGTGACCCTGAATCAATTAACAACTGGCTTACTGATTTCCTCTGACTAAATTGTATAATGACTTAACTGACATCTTTCATCAGAAGGAAGATCAAATTTCTCCGGGTAAAACAAATACACTTGTAGTAGACTTGAAATATGCCTCACTGCGTAAAAATTAACATGATAGAATTATTGAAAGACAAGGAGCAGGATTTCAAAGTCAAGACAAGTTTTTCTTCAAGGACCTGATGACTGATAACTGTACTTGCTGCCTAGTTTATAATTTTCAGAGGCTATTTATAGTGAAGAGGGTGGTGACATTAGTGGGAAAATGCATTCATTTGGAGACAAGATGGGTATAGCGGGCACCTGACTGAGAAGTCAGGCTCCTTTCCTGTTTGCAGAAAAAAGGGAGTGTGAACTGGTTCCCACCTGTTAGGCCACTAGCGCCCCTATGACAAGCAGCATTTTCTACCAGGAAAGAAACGATGCAGGGAGAGTAAAACTCCAGACAAAACCAACCCTGCTTCTTTTCTTCCTATGACAATTGTTGTTGCTGTTTAGTCGCTAAGTTGTGTCCAACTCTTTGTGATTTCATGGACGGTAGCCCACCAGGCCCTCTTGTCCATGGGATTCTTTCTCTAGGCAAGACTACTGGAGTGGTTGCCATGCCCTCCTTCAGGGGATCTTTCTGACTCAGAGACTGAACCCACATTCATGCACTGGCAGGTGGGTTCTTTACCACTGAGTCACCTGGGAAACCAGGGATGGTCTTCTGAAGTCAGGTTCCTAACTGGGCATCTCCCAAACCACATTCCTACTTGGAAACAATTTGTATAAAACTAGCTTTAAACAATCTAACCATTTCATATTCCAATCCACCCCTCCTGCAAATGTGGCTTTAAAACAGTTTTATTAAATACTTATAAATTCCTTTATGTCCATCAGCTTGCAGAACTGCGTGGTCATTCTTGGCACAGAAAAAGTGGTAATTCTTGGAACAGGATTTTAAGTCACATCCCACGGTGGCTCCTTTTTTCCCACAATACGTGCATTTCTACAGAAGAGGAGATTTACTGAGTAAGCATCCGCTTTTTCAGAGTTTTTGTTAAAAATTAAAAGGCAAGAGGTCATCAAGTGCTATTTTTAAGCTGGCTTCCCTCATGTCCTCAGTTACAAACACTGGGTCCTGATATCTGCTGCTCGTTTTGGAATTTCAGCACAACCTCAACCGAATGGAATGTTTTGTAATGATCTGATTAAAAGCAGAAAACTCTTGTTTCCAACTCCTGTCCCCTCTCTTTAAGAGATTTCTAAAAAGCAGGGCTGGCAACACTGCCTGGCTCTAGGCAGAGGTTCTGGGGGTGACACTGAGTGTGTGGCCAAGGGCTGCTCCGGGGGGTGCCCTGACAGCTGCGTGATCTCAAGCAGGCCCCTTCCCCTCTCCTAGACCTGCATTCTTCCCTGGGGATAACAGCACATGTCTTATAGACGCTTGACTGAGGAGACATGAGACAAAGGAAGGGAAACCTCTTTGGCATCTATGCAGAAAGGCCAAAAATGTAAAAAAAACAAATATAAAAAGGCTTCTGAAGAGTAAGTTTTTCCCTTACTTCAGTTCATTTGATATCTTGCTTCTCTGTATTAGTCTATTGGCCTGATAGGAAGGTGGGGTAGAGATGGCTAGGAGGACAGAAACCTAACCGTTTGGGGGAATCCGAGCCATGACCAAGGCTGGTTTATATCACACTCCGGCTGCATGAAGTGCAGGCTCAAGGTAACCACCTAGCAAAACAGGAGAAAGCTCACACAGTATCCCAAGAGCAGCACAAACAACTCTCTAAATAAACAAAATGCAAATATGGGAGAGCAGTTAGATTATGCAGAAGGCAGGATGTGAAGTCAGAGCACAAAGAAGGATCATTTAATGTTGGGGGGCATCTAACTAGATGCATAGAAAAGAAGTAAGAGTAAGATCCCTACCTCACAATATATTTCCCAATAAATTTCACGTGGAATAAGGCTTTATATAAAAAATAGGTTATTTTTAAAAGCCTACAGAAATCTGGAAAATATGAGAAAGAAGAAAAAAGTATAGTACTGAGGTAAGGAAGGTTGTCTAAGCAAGGCAGGAAACTCAGAAGCCACAAAGAAAAAGACTGATCTGACCACATAAGAAAGTGTAAGCTCCACCTTTAAGGTGATAAGATACCATAAAAAGAAAAAAGGAAGACTGTTTGCTGCATAGTTGATAAAGGGTTAAGACTCTACTAACCCACAGAAAAACGGGAAGAGGCAAATCACACCAGAAATACAAACAGCTAATAAACATCAAATTAGAAGATGCTTGCTCCTTGGAAGGAAAGCTATGACTAACCTAGACAGCATATTAAAAAGCAGAGACATCACTTTGCTGACAAAGGTCCATATAGTCAAACCATGGTCTTTCCAGTGGTCACGTATGGATGTGACAGTTGGACCATAAAGAAGGCTGAGTGCTGAAGAACTGATGATTCTGAACTGTGGTGTTAGAGAAGACTCTCGAGAGTCCCTTGGACTGCAAGGAGATCCAACCAGTCCATCCTAAAGGAGATCAACCCTGAATATTCATTGAAAGGACTGATGCTGAAGCTCCAATACTTTGGCCACCTGATGCGAAGAGCTGACTCATTGGAAAAGACCCTGGTGCTGGGAAAGATTGAGGGCAGGAGGAGAAGGGGACAACAGAGGATGAGATGGTTGGATGGCATCATCAACTTAATGGACATGAATCTGAGCAAACTCCAGGAGACAGTGGAGGACAGAGGAGCCTGGTGTGCAATTCATGGGGTCACAGAGTTAGACATGTCTTAGCAACTGAACAACAACAAACACTGACTCACTGAAGGACCACAGAGTAGCTGTTGACCTGGCAGACTCTCTTCTAGGACGGGGGACCGCAGAGGACAAGGTTCCTGCCATTATGAGGTAAACTGTGGTGGAGACGGACAATGATCAAATAAAGCCAACTTTAAGACAATGACATATGCTTTGCAGAGAATTAAGGCCAAGTGAGTGTCTCTGGTTCCCTACTTCAGATTGGGTGGTCAGTGATACACAAGGCCTCCCTAAGGGGGCGACAGAGAAGCTCAGATTTTAATAAGGGCGCCCAGTCTACATCAAAGCAGAGGTAAGGACATCGTCAGCAGGAGGCCTTATGTTCTTGAGACAGGAATGAGCTTCTGTACTGGCCAGCTTACAAGAAGGACAAGAGGGACAGGTAGTTTTGCTGGAAGCAAGGGGAGGCAAGGGGGAGAGTCTGAGCTAAGATCCAGGGGGCTTGGACATGCGGGCCTTATGAACCACAGTGATGAGCTGGGGATTTATCTTTGTGCAAGGGGAGTATAAACTGATGCATAAAGATACTGTTCTGGCAGCTGTGTGGAGAATGGGCTGGGAAGGGTGGGTGGGAGAGAAAAGCAGGACAGGTATCCAGTGTTCAGCAACCGTCCATGAGAGCAGGGTCAGACCCCACCCTGGTGGATGGGTGGTGGTGAGAGAGAAGAAGAGGGTGCAAGGTCTATAGCGTGACGCTGATGGGCTTGATGCTGGGCTGGGGCTGCGGAGCAGATGATGGCAGACAGGCGATGTGCTGTTTGCAGAGAAGAAGCGGACAGGTGGGGATGGACCTTGTGCAGGTATGTGCAGAGGATGGAACTATTTTTTTCTGGGCCAGTTTTAACAGGAGATGCGATTAGAAATCCAGGTAAGTATGTCAGGCTGGTCTTCAGGGCTGGAGATAAAAGAGTCCAGGGATAAGAGTGGCCGTGAAGCCACGGGAACTGGATGAGATCATGGAGGAAGGATGTTCAGATTGATGAAGGAGCCCAGGACAGGGCCTCGGGCACTCCCAACCACAGAGGGTGAGCAGAGGAGAAACAGCCCAGGCCCTTAGGAAGAAGCAGCCCGAAAGGTAAGAGACATCCCGGCAGAGTGGGTCTGGGACGTGAGAAGGTGCTGCTGCAAGATGCAGGGCAGGGACCACTGTGTGAGGGTCCTGCCGGAAGGTCACCTAAGTCAGACAAGTGACCCTGCGACTGACCAGCTTTTGGTGTATGAAGGAGGATATTTTTTTAAAAGATGACATGATCAGTTGATCATGTTTATATGCTGATGGGAATTATCAAGTAGAAAGAGGGGATACTGATATGAAGGGGCAGGGGAGGAAAATGCAAGAGCCTGGTCCTTGGGGAGGGGGCGGGGAGCAGCGGCTCCAAAGCCCAGGTGCAAGGTTAGCTGTGACAGGCTGGAGGTCTGGGGACAGGCGGGTGGAGTATTCAGGAGGAGTTCCAGTCTAATCGCTTCCACCTTCTTGGTAAGAATCAGGCAAAGCAACGTACACCACCAGGAGGGAACCCTAACTTTAGAGATGGCCTCTGGGTGTTTCTGATGTGTCAGTGTTGTTCGTCAGTCGTAACAAATGTCCCTTCTCGAGGGGGGCGGTGTTGATAAAGGGTGGGGGGGATATGGGAACCCTCTGTACTGTCCCCTCAGGTTTTTTTGTGAACCTAAAACTGCTCTAAAAAATAAGGTCTCATCAAAAAGAAAAACAGAACCAGGACTTCCCTGGTGGTCAAGACTCCAAGCTCCCAGTGCAGGGGGCCCTAGTTTGATCTCTGGCCAGGAAACTAGATCCCACATGCTCTAACAGTTCGCATGGTGCAACTAAGACCTGGTGCAGCCAAATAAATAAATAAGTAAAAAAAAAAAAAAAAAAAACAACACCAAAACCAACAGGCAGAGTCATCATCTTGGGAATGAGAAGTTGGGGTGGGGCAAGACTTCAAAGACAGATGAGAGGATATGAACCAGTTTGTGTGGAGGGTGAATTGCTGACGGTCTGTTTGAGATTTACGGCTGTGAATCTGAGATCAGTGAGAACGTCTGTGGGTTTTCTCAGGATAACAGCTCAGCTGCCAGCGCTACTGAGCTCCTGCAGACACCATACAGACGTGCTTGCCCAGGGAGGGGGTCTGCTCTGTGAGCACAGAGGGCGTCTGGGGGCGGGGAGGGCTGCAGGGGGGTGATGGCTGCACTGGACCACGGCCAGAGACCACTGAAGAGCCGCTGCAGCTGGGCGCGCCAGAGGCCAGGACGGTGACTAGGGAGGGGAGGTGGGCAGCCTCTCCAGGGGTCAGGGAAACGCAATGGAGAACTTGGTGAGACTGGCAAAAATCAACAAGGTCTGTGATTCTCATTTTTGTCTAGGGCTGGGAGAAGCGCTCTTTCATCCACTGAGAACAGATGTATAAAGTGGTACAGTCTTCCTGGGGGTCATTTTGTCAGCACGTTTCAAAGATTTTAAAGGAATTTCTAGGACTGTGCCGTACAGTACCCCGCACACCAGCATGTAAGGGTAATGCACAGACGTTTACTGCGGCTTTGCTGTTCCAGTGAAAACCAGAGTCAACTCAGTATCTAAGGGCAAGGGAATGGCCTCACACCTTCTGTTACATCCTATGTAATTCTGTGAGGTCAGTAAAGAGAATGCCAGGGAGTCCTATGCTTGTGGTTCTATGGACACACTGCATCTTCTTTCCGGCCTTCCATAAGCTTTTGCACACCCTGTTCCCTCTCTCTGGAGTTCCCCGTCTTCATTTTCACCGCCACCCACAGCGCGGAAGGCTTCCTGAGCCCCAGCTGTGCTGAGCTGCCCGCTCACTGAGCGCCCAGAGCGGGCACATCTCAGAGAGCAGCGGGTGCTACGGACGCTGCCCCCGTCTGTGCTGACACTGCACGAGGACTAAAACAGTGTTTGCTCTGGATCACTAACCTGACTGTGGGTGGTGGTGGTGCTGAGCGTGTCAGCGCTGACACTGCTGTCCTGCTGACTAAGCTGTGGAGGGTGCTGTCAGTGGGGGAGTCTCCTGTAGCAGCCCTGGAGGGTAACTACCCAGGGTGCTTCCTTCCCAGGGAGCTGGCCCAGCTCCAAGGGTAGCTCCTGATTACGTACGGTCGCCTCTAGGAACTGGTGCAGAAAGAGAAGTGTGGCCTAACTCAGCTTTCAGGAGGAAGAACTTTTTATAGACAGGAAGACGAAAGCCTGATGCTTCAGCAGCTGCCTGTGGCCACCCTAGGATCACAAAGGAACCAGCTGATGCTGTGGACAGCAGGGTGGAAAGGATGATGGGCCCTTGATGACATCATTGAGCCCCTGAATCAACCAACTCTGAAGCCAGTTTTTCCTCTGGCTAAGTGAGAAAATGAGCATTCTTTTTTTTTTTTTAAGCCAGTCTCAACTGGAGTTCCTTCTACTTTTAGCCAAAGCATTCTGATTCATTATCTATTGATACTTTAATGATGAAACACATTGTACCTTATTAAAAATATTAATATATTCAACTGAATCTAAGTTTCCAGTACAGGTCCTACTTCTTTCAGCTCTCCAAGATACATCTCTATTCCTGGTTTATTAATCAAATAGACTTTCTTTTGAAGGCATCCCCAAGGGTCTGTTCAACTTTGTAAGAAAATCATTCATACTTACCAACTTCCTTCCTCTCTTGATTTCTTTCTTTACTGATTCCACATCAAAATTTCTATCATTATTACATGAATCATGGTCCTCACATTCCACAAGTGCCGAGGAATACAGCTGCAGATTGGGAAAAGAAAAACAATCCAGATTATATACAAAGAAATGTTGAGAGCTACAAATCAGAAAATGGTACCAAAAAAGTATTCATCAGGAATGGAAGATGACAACCTTTTGGGGTGTGTGAGCAGACCTCAAGCCACCCAGCTTTTCTTCGGGAATAGTCCTGATCCCTGGGCATGTTTCACACTGCCTAACCCTGACCCTCAGTGGCTTGGTCGAGGCCCAGATCCCAAGCTGGGCCAATCAAAGTTCCTATTCTAGGAAAGTTAAATAGGCTCTGAGGCACACGGTCAGAGAAGAGAAAGTCAGTCTACAGAGAGAGGGAAAACAAAAAATGAGGGCTACATGGGACATGCCAGGCTCCTAAGGGCTTCTCAGCTCCTGTTTCTTGGCCCCGCCTCTGGACCTGCCTTCAGGAGCCACAGAATGGCCCTGCAACTCATTACAAAGCCTCCTGTGTATTCAGGTTGGCTTGAGTTTCTAAGAGCTTCTTGAGACCAAAAGAATCCAAACTACTTCCTAATGAAAGACCAGCATTACAGTATACTTAAACTATAAAGGGCATGAAAAACATAAGAGAAAAAAATTCTGACCCTGACATAGGCAAAGATTTCTAATAAAAGCAAAAACTATAAAAAAGTTCTCAAGTTGGTTGGGACTTCCCTGGTGGTCCAGTGGTTAAGAATCTGCTTTCCAATGCAGAGGACATGAGTTCAATCCATGGTCAGGGAACTAAGATACCACATGCCATGGAGCAACTAAGCCCGTGCGTTGCAAAAAAAAAGACTCCACATGTTGTAACCAAGACTCAACACAGCCAAATAAATAGATAAATATTTTAAAAAGCTATCAAGTTAGAATTCATCAAAATTAAAAGTTTTTGTTCTTTGAAAGACATCGCTAAGAAAACAGAAAGGCAACCCAGAAATTGGGAGAAAATATTTGCAATTCATATACCTGACAAAAAACTTGTATCGAGAATAGAGGAAAAATTGTTGCCACTCAATAAGACAATACAATTAAAAATGGGCAAAAAATCTGGATAGACACTTCAGAGAAGAGTTACAAATGGAAAGATGCTCAAAATCGGTAACCCACAGACACAGCCACAATGAGATACCAATACACACTCACCAGATTGGTTAGAATTAAAAAGACTGAAAAATAACCAAGTGTCAATGCAGGTACGGAGCAAAGGAAATGCTTACACATTGTTGGTAGAAGTGTAAAATAATGCAGTCACTTTTAAAGTTAAACATACACTTACTTTATGACCCAGCATTCCTCTTCTAGGTATTCACCCAAGAAATAAAAGCATATGTCCACATTTAAAGAAGGCAAGAATATACAATGGAGAAAAGATAGTCTCTTCAATAAGGAGTGATGGGAAAATTGGACAGCAACATGTTAAAAAATGAAATTTGAACATCTTCTCATCATACACAAAAGTAAATTCAAAATGGATTAAAGACCTAAGTGTAAGATGAGGCACCATAAACTCCTAGAAGAAAACACAGGCAGGACACTCTTTGACAAAAAGCAATATTCTTTTTTATCTCCAAATGCAAGGAAAATATAAGGAAAAATAAACAAACGGGACCTAGTTAAGCTTAAAAGCTTTTGCATCAACAAACCATCAATAAGACAGAAAGACAACCTATTAACCTATTGAGTGGGAGAAAATATTTGCATATGATATGACCAGTAAGGGGTTAATATACAAACAGCTCATAAAACTGAAGATCAAAAAACAACCTGATTAAAAGATGGGCAGAAGATCTGAATGGACATTTTTCCAAAGAAGACATGCAGATGGCCAAAGGCACATGAAAAGATGCTCAGTATCACTGATCATCAGAGAAGGGCAAATGAAAACCTGGAAGAGATATCATTCACATCTGTCAGAATGGCTGTCATCAAGAAGACTGCACACAAATGTTGGTGAGGATGTTGAGAAAAGGGAACCCTATACACAGTGGGAATGTAAGTTGGTGCAGCTGCTATGGAAAACAATATGGAGGTTCCTCAAAAAAAAAAAAAAAACTAAAAATAGAACTATCATATGATCCAGCAATTCCACTCCTGGGTATGCATCCAAAGAAAATAAAAACACTAATTCAAAAAGATATCTGTACCATAATGTTCATAGCAGTATTATTTACAATAGCCAAAGTATGGAAGCAAACTAAGTGTCCATCAACAGATGAATGGATAATAAAGATGTGCAGTGTGTGATTCTTTGTGACCCCATGGACTGTAGCCCGCCAGGCTTCTCTGTCCATGGAATTCTCCAAGCAAGAATACTGGAGTGGGTAGCCACTTCAGAAGATCCCTTCTCCAGGGGATCTTCCAGATCCATGGATCAAACTCGAGTCTCTCACACTGCAGGCAGATTCTTTACCATCTGAGCCACCAGGGAAGCTCATATCTATATCTACACACACACACACACACACACACACACACATGTATGAATGTGTATATTTATTGTGTATACACACACACACACAGAAACACAAACACAATGGAATACTAATCAGTCATAAAAAAGAATGAAATTTTGCCATTTGCAACAACATGGATGGATGTAGAGGGTATTATGCTTAGTGAAATAAGTCAAAGACAGACAGTACATGTCATCACTTATATGTGGAATCTAAAAAAATAATAAACTAGTGATATAATAACAAAAAGCATGTCTACATATTCAGATGCTCACAGCAGAGTTATCTTAAAGTTTCCAGGTGGCGCTGGTGGTAAAGGACCCACCTGCTAATGAAGGAGTCACAAGAGAAGTACCATCCCTGGGTTGGGACGATCCCCTGAGGAGGGCATGGCAACCTACTCCAGTATTCTTGCCTAGAGAATCCCATGGACAGAGGAGCCTGGTGTCTACTGTCCATAGTGTTGCAAAGAGACGGACACAACTGAAGTGACTTAGCACAGCACATAGCATAGCCCCACAATGAAAATAATACATATGTCTATCAACAGAGAAATGAATAAACAAATAGTGTTATTCTCAGAATGGGTTAACAGCAGAAAATAAACAAGCACATATCTTATAGTAACAAATTAAAAGGAGAAAACTTGAGACATGAAAACCAAACATATCAGAATCTTCTGCTATAAAGAAAGTTATTAGGACACTTGAACCTGAAACCTGAGTGGTCTGAGGGTCAGGTGATAGTAATATATTAATGCTAAATCCCTGATTTTGATGGTTACATTGTGATTATGTAAATATCCTTGTTTGTAGAAAAGACGCACTAAGTGTCCAGGAAAGATAGTACATTGTGCCTTAATTTAATTTCCAATGGTTCTGTCAATGAAAATAATCAATAAACAATCTATAATAAGAATGGATTTGAGCCAAATGAAGGCCTATTTCCCAGATTACTCTAAGAAACTGCTCTGCAGAAGCACTGTTTCTAGTACAGTTTTATACCTTGTCAGAACAAAGAACATTAAACAAGTCAGCGTTACATTTCTTCAAAATTATTTTTAAAAAAAGAAGAAGAAAAAGAACAGACCAGCATGTACGCAGTGAGTCAGTATGACCTTGGTACTGGGAAGGGAGGTTTATCATCAAAGGAGGACCAGCATTGGCATGCCAGGAAGAGAGGCATTTAATCTTTATTTTTAACATGGACATTCTTTACTTCTGGTCAATGTGCCCTTTTCTCTAACAAATAAAGCACATGTACAATGTATATTTGATAAGCCACAGAAAGACTATTTTAGTTAGCATAAAATTCAAGTTAACTGATGTATAAGCCAGAATGACTTTCCTTTATCTCAATATGTGAATATTTCTTTGATCAGTTCCAACAAAAAAGATTCTTTGTACTGTATGTGCAACTTTTCTATAAGTCTGAGATTTAAGAAAGTCAAAGTGTGTATATAAAAAAAGAAAGCATCTAGCATTGTGCATGGCCAGAGAAAGAGAGGGAAAGAACCCAGAAGATCATTACAATAGATGCAGAAAAAAGCACTTCATAATATTCAATACTTTAACTTGTAGAAAACTAGAAATAAAAGGGAGCTATCTAGTTTTCATAAATTGAAAGTATTAAAAACCTAAATACAAATTTAATGATAAAATCCAGAAGCATCCCAGTAATATAAGATCAATCAAAGCTCACTAAAATGCTTCTAATCACCAGTATAACACAATGTTCTAGAAAAATGTGGTAAAATAAGAAAAAGAAATTAAGAGGCCAAAAAATTTAAAGGAAAAAAAACTCTTCATTTATAGATGAGGACTGTCCAAATAAAATATTCAAGTAAATCTGACTTTTAGATGTGAGAATTTGGCAAGATTTTTGGATGAGTTAAAAAAAAAAATCAATAGTGTTTGTGTATATCAATTATGTTGTTGTCTAGTTGCTAAGTCATATCCAACTCTTTTGTAACCCTGTGGACTATAGCCTCCTCTGTTCATGGGATTCTTTAAGCAAGAATATACTGGAGTGGGCTGTCATTTCCTCTCCAGGAAATCCTTCTGATCCCCAGATTGAACCTTCGTCTCCTGTATTGGCACGTGGGTTCTTTACCACTAAGCCACCTGGGAAGCCTGTATACCAATAATAGTCCATTTTAAAAAATTATTTAAAAAAAACAAAACAAAAACCAATGCAGGAATAGACCAAACCCAAAGTTCTAGACTGCTATAGACAAAAATTGTTGGACATTTTTGAAATTCATAAAAGACCTGGCTAATTGGAGAGACACCCCTGTTAATGGAAAGACATATTGTAAGGGTGTCTATTTTTTCCCAAATTTATCTATAAATTTGGTGGAATTCCAGTTAAAATTCCAATAGAAATTTCTGTGAAACCTGATGAGCTGATCTCAAAATTCAAAGTACAAAAAAACAGCCAAGGCTTATCATAAAATCACAGTAGTTAAGAGCACTGTACCAACTCAGGGATACACAAGTGACCAATGGAGCAGAACGGACAGTCAGAAAGATATCTGTGCCCATATGACAAAACTGTTAAGAGCAACAGGTAAGGATGAAGGTTCAAGAACTAGACATCTAGGTGAGAGTCCTGGCTCAGTCACTTACAGCCCTGTGACCTTGGGCAAGTCACTTAATTTCTCTGTGCCTCAGTTGCTCCACCTTTGAAAGTGAAGTCGTTCAGTCATGTCCGACTCTTTGTGACCCCATGGACTGTAGTAGGCTACAGTCTACTGTACAGCCTACCACGCTCTTCTGTCCATGGGATTTTCCAGGCAAGAGTACTGGAGTGGGCTGCCATTTCCTTAGTTTGGGCCTAATTACAAAACCTCCATCTTAGGGTAATTGTGAGGATGAATAGTTAAATACAGGTTAAGCTCCCAGAGTATTACCTTACACACAGTGGACACCAAATAATAATAACAATAGTTAACATTATTATCACTACATATCAGTAAGGAAAGGATAGCTTGTTTTTTTAAAAACAGTGCAGGAAAGTGAAAGTGTTAGTTGCCCAATTGTGTCTGACTCTTTGCAATCCCATGGTCTACAGCCCGCCAGGCTCCTCTGTCCATGGAATTCTCCACGCAAGAATACCAGAATGGGCAGCCATTCCCTTCTCCAGGGGATCTCCCCAACCCAGGGATCAAACCTAGGTCTCCTGCACTGCAGGCAAGATAGAGCTGGGGGAAGTAGTTAATCACACTAAAAAAAAAAAGTGAGAGAGTCAATTCCTAGGTAGGTTGATAAGAAGTCCAGGGCACTCAAGGAGGAGACAGGGGTCTGGAGTTCTCAAAGAGGAGAAAAGGACAGATGTTTTTTTCTACACTGCTTTGTCTTAGTCAATATAACAATGAATCTTGCTCAAAGATATGTTTCTCCTTAACAAGAACCTTCTGACTAACCTTGTTATCTTAAGATGTATGTTGTGGGAGTGGGTCTGGTAAGACCCTTTACTCTAATAAGGTATATAGCACCCTTGCAAAGACCAGTGAGTGGGGTACTCTCCACCCCGCTTCTGATGTCTGTGTTAGCTTTCTCTGTCCCTTTTTCTCTTTAATAAAACTCTGTTACATAGAAGTTCTTGAGTGATCAAGCCTGGCTCCTGGTCCCAAAGCTAAATCATCATCTTTAGATATCACGAATCTGACATCATTCACCATAAGCTGTCAAAAGAAGATCCCTGCTTTATATGGTAATCCAGATAAATTCAGTTGCATCAAAAATATCACTTCCCTTAATTATTTCAATCTTTCCTTTAGCTTTCTAACATGTTGTTGTTTAGTAGCTAAGTTGTATCCAACTCATTTGTGACCCCACAGACTGTAGCCCAACAGGCTCCTCAGTTCATGGGGGTTTCCCAGGCAAGAATACTAGAGGAGGTTGCCATTTCCTTCTCCAGGGGATCTTCTCAACTAGGGATCAAATCCACATCTCCTGCATTGTCAGATGGATTCTTAACCACTGAGCCACGTGGGAAGCCCATAGCTTTCTAATTTACCTCAGTCCTAAATAAGCTGTTCCTAAATCCAAAGGCATTCTTATTATCAACAATAAACTGATTAGCATAATTTTAAAAAGAAGCTAAATGAGAACAACACAATTTCTAAACTTTTTGGGAAACAGAACCTTAATATGGAAAAGAAATTCTTAGGGTGAAAATCCTACAAATTATAAAGGAAAATGATGAATATTCATTACATTACAAGCTTCCATGCAACAGGAAGCACCATAAATAAACTCAAAAGCCAAATATATGATAAAGCGTTGAATGTATTTTTATGTAAATGAACATATATAAGTGAAATTAAGATCTCAAAAAAATTTAAAAAAAGATCGCAAAAATAAAGTGTAGTCTCTGAACAGAAGTCATAGAATCGACAAACAGAACTGCAAAAAGAAAGCAAAACAGAACCACACAGAAGCACAGCAAGGGAGGTGCAAACCCACTAAGTCATCCAGGAACTGCAAATACAAACAAGAGACTATCTCACACTATCTGAAAGGAAAACATTAAATTTCATAGTATCATGACAGACAAACCATAGACCCAAGGAGGAACTGTGAAGAGAAAGAAAAGAAAAGCTACAGGTTGGGAGAAAATACATAAAATATATCTGTCAAAGGACTTCTATCCAAGATATAAAGAGCTCTTAAAACTTAACAACAATAATAAGCTAATGAAAACTGGACAAAAGATCTGAACAGACAACACCAAAGAAGATATACAGATGGCAAATAAATACATGAAAAGATCTTCAAAATCTCATGTCATCAGGCCATTACTGATTAAAATACAAACAACATGAACTCTCACTCATTTCGGGTGGGAATGTAAAATGGTACAGCCACCATGGAGGACAGTTCGGCAGTTTTCTACATAATTATGCACACTTTTGCCAGACCAAAATAAATAAATAAATAAATAAATCACACAGAATTAAGTGTTGACAAAGAAGTAAGGTAAGTCAGACTTGGCGCAATCCCTTTGGAGAGCAGTCTGGCAGATTTCGTGAGGTGCAGAACCCTCCCTTCCCGTGCCCAGCAGTTCTGCTTTTTGCTAAGTGCCCCAGATCAGAGGAAAGCTCCTATGAATTAGGAGACCTATCCAAGGATATTCACAGCAGCTGGTCAGTCACACAAAAAAGTGGAAAATCCCAAATGATCATTCACTTTAACAGTGATTATAGGGACTTCCCTGGGGGTCCAGTGACTAAGAATCTGCCTGCCAATGCAGGGGACTCAGGCTCGATCCCTGATCCGGGAAGATCCCACATGTCTTGCAACTAAGCCCGTGCACAACTGCTGAGCTGCGCCCTCCGGAGCCTCTGCTCCGCAACAAGAGAAGCCCCAGCGCTGAGAAGCCCACGCACCACCAGCTAGACAGTAGCCCTTGCTTGCTCCAAGTGGAGAAAGCCCAGGCGCAGCAACGAGGAATCAGCACAGTCAAAAGATAAATAAACACTAAAGAAAGAAAAACAAAATCATTTTAAAAAGATAGTAATTAAAAAAATTAAATTAAAAAAAATAAAAAGATCGTAATTATAGTCATAAAATGGAATACTGTAACATTTAAAATTAAAGAGTAGAGCTACTATCAACAAGGATAAGTCTCAATAATCCACAGAATTTGATAGAAATTCTGTAAATTCCAAGAACATGTAAAACAATACATATTATTGTTTAGAAGTACTTAAATATGTGGTGGAAGCATAAAATTAAAAACACAAGATAATAATAAGTACCAAATTTGTGTTGGTGAAGGAATGCCAAAAATGGGACAGAGAAGGGAGAGTCCTTAACCATCTAGGCTGTTTTCCCTTTAAAAAAAAAAAAGCTGAAGTGAGTATCATACATCATTTTATAAATCTGGGGTAGACATTTTATAAATGTCTGTGGGTATATGTTATATTTGAAATATTTAATTAAAATACCTTTAAAGAAGCTTCTTCACCATAATTTCTTGTTTGATCAGTTATAAATAAAACCAAAAGTAATCAAAAAGTATTACTACCTGAAACTTTAGAAAGAGAAAAATATGCTCCCCAAATCCCCACTTAAAAGTCCAAACCATGGGCAGTCAATGTGTTGTTCTTTGTTGTATTCGAAATACATTTATCTATTTTGGGATGTCCTTCCCTGAAAGGATTCATGTGTGTTCAAACTTACCAAACAGTTTTCATGAGCAGCTATATTCTCTGACTGTGCAAAGTACAGGACACTACACTCGAGGTCTTTGGGGCAGAGCGCGCATATCCTTTTTTGCAACCTTTCTGCAACCTGGAAGACACCTACAAAGTAATATCCCTCATGAGAAATGGAAAAGTGGAATTTCTTGGTCTGTAACTCCTCCACCCATCTTAAATGAGAGGGCTGGGCACTTGTTTTTAGAAGAGAGTCTCAGCTCCCAGGGAGAAAAAATTCAGGACCCAAGTAGAAATGCACCTTTGCAATTTTAAAAATTTTACATTTGCATTTTCTAATGGCTTAATGAAAAAAAAAAAAGAAAATATTTTATTTAAAATGTCCAGGGACTTTCTAAAAAAAAAAAGGTAAATAAATAAATAAAATTAAACATGAGGAACAGTGGGCTTCCCAGATGGCGCTAGTGGTAAAGAATCCGCCTGCCAATGCAGGAGACGTTAAGAGACACGGTTTGACCCCTGGATTGGAAAGATTCCCATGGAGGAGGGAATGACAACCCACTCCAGTCTTCCTGCCTGCAAAATCCCATAGACAGAGGAGCCTGGTGAGCTAACAGTCCACAGGGTCACAAAGAGTCAGACAAGACTGAAGAGATTGAGCACACACAGACATGAGGAAAACCTTTGCCTAACAAACCTAAGTAGGAATTTAAATACAAGGTACACTGCTGGGCCCACAGTAAGCTCTCAGTTACAGTCACTGACATTATAAATCAACTGTATTCCACAAATAATGCTCTGATTAACTATCTATAAGAAAGCATTTAGATCCTTATACTATACTATATTCAAAAATAAATTTGGGGTGAATTAAAGAAGTAAATGAACAATGTACTTAAATGTGATGTAATCTAGCATTATAATAAATTAGGAGAGAAAGACACATGATGGTAGGAAGGAGATTTTTTTTTTTTAAAGAGAAGAATGAAGAAAGGAGAGAACAGAGAAGGAGAGCCAGGAAGAACAGGGAAGAGTCAGAGACAGAAAAAAGCCAGCTGTTCCCAACATCCCACTTGGATGCACCAGTGGGAGACAACCTTTACTCTCTAATCTATTAGTTTGCTGTTAATTTAGCCACAAGCATCAATGTAATATTTCCTTGCCCTTTCCAATGCTCATCCTCTTTATTCATCTGGTTTTCCATAGCAGAAAGCATTTTCAATTTTACCTTCAGATTTTAGTTCTGAAACAAAACTTCATTTAATGGTGAAAAGGTTTGATTTAGATGAGGTTAAACTGCTTAATGGAGAAGAAGATGGCAACCCACTCCAGTATTCTTGCCTGGAAAATCCCATGGATGGAGGAGCCTGGTGGGCTCCATGGGGTCACAGTCAGACACGACTGAGTGACTTCACTTTCACAAACTGCTTAAGCTCTTCTTAAAAGTCTTTTTGGTTACTCCAAAGTATAAGATCTCTTAGCACCTCTCTTAAATTAGATTTTGCATCTCACACTGTCCAAAAACCTCACTTTGGAGCTAGTATTTGTTTCACGTTCAGATGAGTTTCTTCTTTAACTATCGTCTGTTTCCTGGATTGGAGTCCTGCTTAGTGGGGCTACAAATGAGTGATCCTCCTGCTCCTATCAACCAAGAAAACGGGAGTGGGGGAGACTGAGAGAAAATGCCTCATGTGAAATGGAATGGGCGAACTGCTGCCTTTCATTCCTCTCAAACTATCACCGAGTTGGGAGCGCCTCTTTATACAAGAGTCACTGTGTTGAGGGCTCTAGACCAGCGCTGTCTGTAGAAACACCGTGTGAGCCACAGGTGCAGATGAAGAATTTCTAGAAGCCTCATTTAAAAAAAGCAAAGGAGGGACTTCCCTGGTGGTCCAGTGGTTAACACTCTGTGCTCTCCATGCAGGGGGCATGGGTTTGATCCCATTGGGGATCTAAGATTCCACATGCTGCACGGCAGGCCCCCCTCAAAAGGAAGTTGGTGAAATTAATTTTAATAGGCTTTATTCCATCAAATATATCCAAAATACTACCCTTTCAACATTTAATCAATAAAACAATGAATTCATCCTTTGTACTGAGTTTTGAAGTCCAGTGTGTTTAGGGCTTACTGCACGTCTCAACTGGACAATCCACATTTTCGGTGCTCAAGAGGCATAGGTAGATCGTGGCTACCATATGGAAGATATGGTACAGATGGAAGAAGGTAGAACAGGGGATGTAAAAGAAACATGAGGCAGAACTGTTCCCTGCAAGAAGCTTACAAGGTAAACAAGGAGACGAAATAGCAACTAGGAAAGTAAAACAACAGAATACACAGCACAGAGTAATGTAACTGCTGAGTAGGAAATAAAATACATGCTACGGGCAGACGAGGAAGTGCTCCCTGTGGGATGGGGTACTGTCAAGGACACGGATTTGAGCCGGTACAACCTGGAGATGGAAAGGAGAGTCAAGGCGGGAGGGACGTCGCGGACAGAAGCACAGATGGAGGAAGAGGCCAAGAGGTCTGACTGGGAGACAGCCGATCAGCGGGACTGAAGAGGAGAGTTCGTGCAAAGGAAGCTGGAAAAGAATTTGAGGAATAGATGGTGAAAGGCTGCCAGGAAGGATTTTTGAGGAGGGGAATAACATGATGAAAGAGTTGTTTTAGGTTCTATTTCAGTACCAGAGAAATACGGTGCACCTGGACAGAAGGCTGGATGTCATAATGCTGTCTGTTCTATCTCAGATACGGGCAGACAAAAACATGCTGCCTGCCATCAAGCCGTCAGCCACTGCAGCAACCCCCACCCCCCAATAACGGTGTGCCCTCAGGGGAATTCAGGATGGTGAAAACAGAGTACTTGCTCTAAATACTTACGATGCATTTCTAAGGAGTAATTTCCATGAGCCCAGATTCTTGCATCTTCCCATACTTAGAAAAGCTCTAAAATCATTAACTTGAGATTTCGTTATTAGCAGTAGTCTTCTGATGTTCAACCACATGTTTTTTTTCAACAAAAACTATATATCCTGGCTCCTCCCTCATCTCTTCAAAGCAGTTCCTCAGAGTCTGGCTCCCAGGCTACAGTCCTGAGTAAGGTCCCAACATGAAACAAAACTTGCAATGTTTAGGTTGTGTTTTTCTTTGGTTGGCATAAGTTTTAGATTTAATGCCATTTCAAATTAAATCTCAAGAAGGTTATTTTAAAGAAGTTGAAAAATATATTATTTGGAAGAATAAATGATTATGGGTAGTGAACAAAACTTGGGAAAAAATGAGAGTGTCTGATTTTAAAACATATTATAAAGGTACAGCTGGGACAGAAAGTTAGATGACTGAGTCAAAAAAGAATACAAAGTGCAGAGGAAATGAATCATCATCTCTAATTATGAATATAGGATATCACAAGGTGGCATTTGCATTTCTTCTCTGGCACTGACATCCTTAGCCCATTTCTCTACTGGGTTAATTCACTATTTTCTTCCTATTTCCTGATTTATCCAGGCTCATCATTGCACACAGGAATGACCCCCAGCAGACATGTCTGTACTATGTGACTCTTTCCCTACGCACAGCTGACAGTCCTAGAGGACCTACCTGCCCGTCCCAGATATACAGAATTCAGAATAGAAGATTTTAGTTCAGACTGGGCTGGTTTCTTGAAGAAGGAGATGTAAAAACCTGAGAAGCTGTGAGGGTGGCCATCTTCTATCCCATTAGCAGGAAAACTGGACCAAAGAAAGAGAAGAACAAAGCAGACATGCTGAGTGCGGTCGAGCTTTATGTAGACTTTTCAGGCCCTGGTTCCTGGCTCTTTCTGGAAAACGCAACAGCATCCATGCTCCTGGGATGAGTCTGGTCTCCCTGCTTTCCACTTAACAAGCATCCCCTTTGCTTAAATGGTATCAGGTTGATTTTGTACTCTTGGTAGCCAACAGGTCCTAATGGAACTGATGCTGGGAGGGATTAGGGGCAGGAGGAGAAGGGGATGACAGAGGATGAGATGGCTGGATGGCATCACCAACTTGATGGGCATGAGTTTGAGTAAACCGGGAGTTGGTGATGGACAGGGAGGCCTGGCGTGTTGCAGTTCATGGGGTCTCGAAGAGTCAGACACGACTGAGCGACTGAACTGAACTGAATGGTACTACCATGACCTGATCTGTGTAGGCACATGTGCACCGGAGAGTGAGTTCTGGCAGTGGTGTGGAAAAGTGGACTGCCTGGCCCTCACTGTCTTTTATCTTGTCCATTCTGATAATCTCATCTCCCTCCTCCTGCTTTCCCTTGTCACGCCTCCACTTCCTTCTTCACATTGCTGCCAGAGTGAGCTATCTAAAATGTCCACTGTCCCTGTCTCTCTCCTGCTAAAGACCCTTCTCTATCACCTGAAGAATAGAAGCCAAGCTCTTTACATGCAGACTGACTGGTTTCTTCAATATGTGATGAGCATCTATTATGTATCCTTTTAGGCACTAGAAATAAAGCAGGGAATAAGATGTGAATTTCAACACTCATGAAACTTACATCCTAGTAGTAGAGACAGACCCTCAAACATATATTATTTTAAGGTAGTAGTAAGTGCTATGAAGAAAAACCCAGCAAGGGAAGGAGGGTGAGATTGATGGGGGTCGGGGGAGGGCTCTTCCAAACAGGGTGGGCAGGCAAGGCTGTCTGTGGAGGTTACCTCTGAGCAGAGATTTGAATATGGTGGGAGTTTAGAGGACTCACAAGGCAACGAGGGGTGGCAGTCATCAAGATGGGTAGGGACTGGATCGGGTCAGGACATGGGGTACACAGCAGCCACAGTAAGATTATTCTGAAAGCAATGAGACTACTAGAGGGCTTTGAGTAGGAGAATCACATTTGCTTTTTGTTTTATAAGGTCCTTTTGGCTACTGTACAGTCCTGTCTGTATGAGAGGCTAGAGTGGAAGTCAGGAAACCCACAGTCTAGGCCTGAGATGATGGTGGCTTGGATGGTAGTGATAGAAGTGGCAAGAAGAGGTCAGGCTCGAGATAAATTTTGGAGACAGAACTGACTAGTCTGACTGACACGTGAGACGGGCGGTAAGGAGGAGAGAGCGGCACCGAGCATGACACTAGGGTTTTGGTCTGAGCACCTGGGTGAATGGAATGGGAAAGGCTGCTAGTGGTTAGGCAGCTTTGGAGAATGCGGGTGTGCGCAGGCAAACGGGAGTTTGAGATCGTTCCAGGCATTGATTAAAATGGTTATAGGAGTCTGGAGTTTGGGGAAAAGGTCCAGAAGCAACCTCATCTCCAGTAACTTATCTTGCATTCTGTATGATCACTAGTGCTAGTGTTAAGTCGCTCGGCTGTGTCCAAACTCTTTGCGACCTCATGGACTGTATGTAGCCCACCAAGCTCCTCTGTCTAAGGAATTCTCCAGGCAAGAATACTGGAGTGGGTAGCCATTCCCTTCTCCAGGGGATCTTCCCAACCAGGGATCAAACCCAGGTCTCCTGCATTGCTGAAAGAGTCTTTACCATTTGAGCCACCAGGGAAGCCCCCTAGCTAAACGCTCGCTGGCTAAAGTGAAACAGTCAGCATGTTGCTTCCTTTGTGGCTGCCATTTGATGTTTTGTGGCCGGCGCCTTTATTCGAGTCTTCATCTCTGGACTGCCCTTTCAACCTTTCTACCCCTGGGTGACTTGACTCTTGCCTTTTAAAACGAAGACAGGGTGTCCCTGAACACCAGGCTGAGCTGAAGGAGCCCCTCATTTGCGCCTCTGTGGTTCTCAGCAGCTCACACACGAGCTGTCTATTTGATTCTCTAGGGCAGGGTCTGCCCAGCTCATCTCTGTATTCTGGCACCTGGTCCTGAGCCTGCACCGGGAAGAAGGCCTACACGGGCTAGAAGATCCACACCTGCTGAACGGCAAGAAAGGTGCCCCCTCAAAAGGCTGCTGTCTCGCCTAAAGACAGGGCCACAGACTTGGAACTACTAAATGGAAAGGAGGGCGTGGTTCCAAAACGTTTCATTCTCTGTGGAAAGTTTCCAAACTGCTTCCTTAAACCCGGCCACCCCGCCCCCACCCCCCTCCCCGCCCGGCTTCTCCAGTGGCTCAGAGGTTAAAGAAAAAACAAATCCGCCTGCCAGTGCAGGAGACCGGGGTTCGATCCCTGAGTCCAGAAGCTCCCCTGGAGGAGGGCATGGCTACCCATTCTAGTATTCCTGCTGGGGAATCCCTTAGACAGAGGAGCCTGGCGGGCTACAGTCCACGGGGTCACAAAGAGTCGGACGCGATTTAGCGACTAAACAACTGATCCTGAGACCCAACTGACCAGTTCTCTTCAAAGGGGGTCCACCTCCAGCCTAGCTCCCCCCTCCCCGGGGCACTTCTCCGATCGCATTGTTTTAGAAGCGGGTGGAGCCGCGCCGGGAAAGGAAACCCACAGGCGTTTCTTTCGTTTTCCCCAGTTGGTTGCAATCCTAGCACCGTAGGACCGCTGCTATGGGCTGTCCCATCTGCAGTGGGGGAGGCACGGCACACGGTAAACGGGGGCAAACTCGCCCCTCTGAGAGGCCCCGGGTAGTGGTCTGGGCGCGGGGCCGCTAGCGCTGGACGCCCCGGGGCCGCGGGGCAAAGACTTCAGCGCGTTCTCGGAGGCGGGGCCGGCGACGCCCGTTAAGGCGGCGACCGGAGAGCGGCCCTGGGCCCCCACCGAGCCCCACCCGACCGCCCCCGGCGCGGTACTCACCGGTCGGGAGCGGGACTGTGTCCCGCCCGGCCTGGGCCTCGGACCAGCTGGTCGACTCGGGCGCGGAAGGCCCCGCCGGGTCCATGTCTGCGCGCTGCGTCCCCGCCGCCGGAAGTCCGCTTTGGCGAAATCTAGATGATGGATTTCCCCTGCCGGGAAGCCTACGGAGGCTTTGCAGACGGCTTCTCAAACGGGAGCTCGGGGCTTCTGAATTCGAACTGCTTTAAAAAAAAAAAAATGAATCACGCCAGGCGCTCCCCACCCTGTGCCCACTTATCCGTGGTCGGAGGAAAGGTGGCCGAAGCCCCTGGACTCGGCTGATAAGTAATGGGTCTTCCTGAGGGATTACCCCTTATTTTCAAAAGCCTCAAAAGCTGTCATCACGTGGGCTTCCCTGCTGGTCCAGTGATTGAGACGCCACACTTCCATTGCAGGGGGCCCGGATTCAGTCCTGGTTGTGTTGTAGCCACGGGTTCCAGGAAACAAACTCACTCAGAAGGACAATGCAGATAGTGGAGTGCAGTTTATTACACCGGTGGGCCCAAGGCAGAGTCTCCTCTTAGCCAAGGATCCCGACCACTTTTTGTGAAAACCTTGTATACCCTAAGCGTACGTGTCCAAACTTCCATTTCCCCCAAATCCCCTGAAACTAGTCTGAACAAAGATAAAAGAAAAATATAGTCACAGTTAACCATAGGCGATGGAGAGCCCCGGGGCTCTTCCTTCTGGGGCCCTGGTTTTCCAGTTGGTATGTCGTTTCCACAGATAGTGGGCATATACCTCAAAGTCCACAGTCCGGCCCAAGATGGAGTCCTGTTTTCAAGATAGAGCCTGTTCTGTTTCCTCCTTCATTCCCCGCTCTTGATGCTCTTAACTCATAGTATGAGCATCATTCATATTGCACCCTGGCTCTCTGACCGCCAATTTGGCAGAACGACACCAACCTTTGGGTTACATAGCTTATAATACATTGTAAAATGCAAGGTCTCAGAACAGAGCTATCAAGGCAACTGTAACAATGGTAAATTAATTTTTCCACCAATCACCCTTTGCCCAAGATAGTACCAAAGTCTAGCATTTGACATTGTTTTAACCTGTTTTTTTTTTTTTTTTCATTTATCTTTATTAGTTGGAGGCTAATTACTTCACAACATTGCAGTGGGTTTTGTCATACATTGACATGAATCAGCCATGGATATACATGTATTCCCCATCCCGATACCCCCTCCCACCTCCCTCTCCACCCAATTCCTCTGGGTCTTCCCAGTGCACCAGGCCCGAGCACTTGTCTCATGCATCCAGCCTGGGCTGGTGATCTGTTTCACCCTAGATAATATACATGTTTCGATGCTGTTCTCTTGAAACATCCCACCCTCGCCTTCTCCCACAGAGTCCACAAGTCTGTTCTATACATCTGAGTCTCTTTTTCTGTTTTGCATATAGGGTTAT